CTAGAGGGGAAAGAAGGTGGAGAGGTATAAATCATGAGGTTGGGATTAACATACACATACTACTATATATAAGATAGGTAATCAACAAGGACACATTTTATAGCACAGGGAACTCAATATTCTTAGGTAACCTGTGTGGGAAAAGAATCTGAAAAAGAATGGAGATATATATATATATCCTTTCAAGATCTAGAATTTGGTTGGAAGACTCAGTCAAACAGATTGAAAGACTAGAAGCAAGGCTGGGCTGTCACCAGGACTGCCCACCAGGACAGAAAGCTCTGGCCACTGGACAGAGCCTATCCACACTCTTCTCGGACATCTGTCAGAGCAGCATATCCCTGCCACTCACACATCTGTTCACGGGCACCTCTAGGCCTCCTCTGTCCACTAATTCACAGAGCCTTGCACTTCAGATCATCACAAGCTGCTTAGCTCAAGAAGGGTCCTATTCATTCTGACATCTGTCTCCACAGTAGCACGTGTACCCAGCAGGGGTTCTGCTGGCACACCTGTGTGGGTCCTGGGGAGCCTGAGTGCCTTGATGTGTCATCACCCAGGACCAGGGTACTCGGCATCTCTGCCAAAGGAATGCATCAGTGGTGCTCAACCAGGGCTCTTTTGCTCCCAGGTATGTTTGGCAATGTCCAGAGACATTTTAAGGGCTTCCCTGGTGGCTCAAATAGTAAAAAGAATCTGCTTGCAATGCAGGAGGCGTGGGTTCAGTCCCTGGGTTGGGAAGGTCCCCAGGAGAAGAGAATGGCTACCCACTCCAGTATTCTTGCCTGGAGAATCCCATGGACAGAGGAGCCTGGCAGGCTACAGTCCTTGAAGTTGCAAAAGAGTTGGACACAACTGAGCAACTAAGCGCACACAGACACACACACACACACACAGACACACACACTCTTTTTGGTTATTGTAATAGGGAGGAGGGGTGCTTCTGGCATCTCAATGGGTCTAGACTGAGGATGCTGTTGAATGTCCCTCAATGCACATGGCACCCCCCACAGCAAACCATGAACTCTCCCCAGTGCCAATAGAGCCGAGATTGGGAAACCCAGGGCCATGTGAATGGAGCAGGTTGGCAGGGGCATCACTGTCTCAGAGGTGACTGGGTGCCACTCTGTGCCCAGATCCTTGGCACCCGGTCACTACTGCACCCTCTTAAACAAGTGATGTCTATGCAAACAAGTGACAGCAAACAGCAGAGCAAGGCAGAGCATGGCTCAGGGCATGGGGGTCCGTGGGGTACAGATGGCAGAGGCTGGGAGGGTTGGACAGCAGCAGAGCTCCCAGCAGGAGGGGGCTGCAGGTAGGGAGGAGCAGATGGCTTTTCCAGCTTGTACTTTTAAATTTTGTTTAAGGTGCCTTTTAAAGCAGATTCGAAAAATGTTTTAGTTGAATTTCTCTCTTTTACCTTTTATAGTTCCAGATTTCTGTGTCATGGTTTTACAAAGGCTTTCCTCCTACTCTGAGATACTTAAAAAAAATTCTCACATGGTGTCTTCTAGTACTTCTACAATTTCACTTTTTAACATTTAAATCTTTGTGTTGGTTTTTTTTTTTTTTTTTTTTGCAATGAGTGAGGGATTTTTGCAATGAGTGACCCCACCTTTCCTTTCCCCAGATGGTGACCCCATTGTCTCAACATCTCTGAATTAACCATCCAATTACCCCCAGTCATCCCATCACCCAGTTTAACAAACATAAACCGCTGTATTCTATTTGTACCTCTGCTCTCTCTGCCTGAAATCCAGCATGTCTACCACACTGTTTTAACTACAGTAGCTCTGTAGTGTGTTTACTATCTCTTGGAGTTACTTCCCTTCCTTCCCCCATCGCTGTCTTTGGAATTTGTTCATTGTTCCTGGGATGCTTGTTTTCCCACATCAACTTTCAAATCCACTTATCTCCCTCAAAAGTCATTTTCACAATTTTCATTCGACTGGGATCCCTCTGTGGGTTCATTGAGGAGACAGCATCTTTGTGGATGCTGAAGCTTCCTTTCTGTGTGGGAACCGTCCAGGCCTTCTCTGTGTCCCTCAGGGATCAGCTATGTTCACCAGTCCTGTGTAAGTGTATTCCTAAGGCATTTATGTTGTGCTGTCATGGCCACGCAAATAGGACATTTTCTGCCTTATAGCGCCTAAGGATGTGGCCATAAAGAAAAGCTATTTCCATCTGAATTCACCCTTGAACTCAGCCACATTGCTGAATTCTCTTCTTGGGGTGTGAGGATTACTTCCTTTCTGTGTGGGAACCGTCCAGGCCTTCTCTGTGTCCCTCAGGGATCAGCTATGTTCACCAGTCCTGTGTAAGTGTATTCCTAAGGCATTTATGTTGTGCCTAAGGACATTTTCTGCCTTATAGCGCCTAAGGATGTGGCCATAAAGAAAAGCTATTTCCATCTGAATTCACCCTTGAACTCAGCCACATTGCTGAATTCTCTTCTTGGGGTGTGAGGATTGCAGTCTATTTCATGGGGTTCCAGACTTGTGGTCCAGGCGTCTGCAAATACTGACAATCGGCTTTCCATATGACAGTTGCCTGGAAGGAGCAGGGGCTCTGCACATGTGTGGGTGGGAAGGATGTTTCTGTCCCACTTCATCTTCCACGGCTCCTTGTGCTGATATGGATGGAGTGGGAGGAGCAGTTATGGCTGTTTGTAGACCTTTGTGAGCCCCTGAAACCAAGCAATAAAGGGCCTGGGAGAAGGTGAGAACCCCATCTTGTCTCTGTGTAAAGAGCTTCTGGGAGCCCTGGCCGTGACCTAGGTGGGTGCCTGGCCCTCCTCCAGGTGGCAGGATGGCAAAGACACCAGAGGCTCATGAACTTGGGGGCTGAGAAGGGCAGTGTCCCACAGACCCCTGCTCAAGCACTCATGCTCCCTTGAGGACTCCGGGAATTACATGGGGTGGGGGGAGAGGAGCTCAGGGTGTCGGCACAATGTCCCCAGACCTCATTCTTCCCCAGGACCAGGGCGAGAGGACCTTTGTGTGGCCTGGGTTCTTGCCTTTATTCCTTGAAAGAGCTGCTCACAGGGAGTCAGATTTTCGTGTTTGCTGTTTGAAAATAGGTCCACCGAGAGTCGGAAGAGGTCACGCATGAATCTGGATGCTTTAAATGGGGTCACTTGGTGTGACATTTATTATCTTCCTTGTGCGGAGCTGCACACCTCTGGCTGGCCCAGTCCTTCAGAAACATCCATTCTTGGCATTTGTATCAGTGTTTTTCATGCTCTGTATTAGTGTCTTGGGGCTGCCTTGACAAAGTGCCATAGGCTGGGCAGCTCAAAAAATAGCTGCTAATTACAGTCTTACTCTCTGGAGGCTGGGAATCTAAGGCTGAGGTGTGGGCGGGTCTGGTCCTCCTGAGGCCTCTCTCAGGCATATGGATGTCTGTTTGTTCCCTGTCTATGGTTTTTCCAGTGGTCATGTATGGACGTGGGAGTTGGACTATAAAGAAAGCTGAGCGCAGAAGAATTGATGCTTTTGAACTGTGGTGTTGGAGAAGACTCTTGAGAGTCCCTTGGACTGCAAGGAGATCCTAAAGGACATCAGTCCTGGGTGTTCATTGGAAGGTGTTCATTGGAGGGTGTTCATTGGAGGGTGTTCATTGGAGATCAGTCCTGNTACTCAAACACATACCCATCAAGTCAGTGATGCCATCCAGCCATCTCATCCTCTGTTGTCCCCTTCTCCTCCTGCCCCCAATCCCTCCCAGTATCAGGGTCTTTTCCAACGAGTCAACTCTTCGCATGAGGTGGCCAAAGTTTCAGCTTCAGCGTCAGTCTTTCCAATGAACACCCAGGACTGATCTCCTTTAGGATAGACTGGTTGTATCTCCTTGCAGCCCAAAGGACTCTCAAGAGTTTTCTCCAACACCATAGTTCAAAAGCATCAATTTTTCGGTGCTCAGCTTTCTTCACAGTCCAACTCTCACATCCATATTCTTTAAAGGCCTCTCCAAAAAAAAAAGAAAAGTCCCATTCTGAAGTGTTGGGGTTAGGACTTCATCTTAACAAATTTTGGGAAGGGAAGACAGGATTCAGCAACACGATCTGTAGCTGAAGCATGTCAAATTTGGCTCTAAAATATGACTGGCTTCAGTGGAACGTGACGGGTCTTTCTTCCCAGAGAAACTTAGCAGAGTGTTTGCAGGGACTGGTGGCCCCAGAACCTGTGGCTCAGTGCTTCTCCATCACAGGTACGAGTTCAGGAACCTGGCTTCTCTGCAACCCAGCTCTAGGCCAGCTCCTCCTCTGGTTTCAGCCTCCTCCCTTCTTCTGAGAAAGCTTGGCTGGGAAGAATCCCAGTCATCGTGGCCCCAGGTTCATAGACAGTGTTCGTTGGGTCTGGGATGCGAGCAAACCATGCTGGAGGGTTCTTTTCCAGTTTTGTTCATGCCCATAGGTGAGGACATCAAAGAGATGATGTGGGGGGTGGGGAGGGGGTTGAAGGTGGGAGCTTGTGGGAACAAGATGTCTGTTTCCAGATGATGTCAGCAGGGGTAAGATGAGGCTTGTGAACCCCAAGGACCAGCAGGGTCAAAGGAAAGAAGAAAGTGCTCAGAAATATTTCTTTTTTTGGTTTCTTATTAGTTCATCAAAAATTTATGCCAAATAATGAAACGCTTCCAAAGGCACCTCCCTCCTTGCCCCTCTCCAGCATAGTTTTGTGCTCCCGCTGCCCCCCCCCCCACTTGAGGGTCATTCTAGAAGTCAAGAATGACAGAAGAGGGCTTTTCTACCTTTGTTGCAGGAAGCCTTGTCAACCAACATTATAGGATATAAAGACAACTGTGTTTCTTGCATACTTGACCTCAAGCTCTGAGGTTCAGACCCATCTTGTTGTCCCATGTAGACCCCCACAGGCAGTCCAGCAAGGAGGAGGCGGTGGTCTGCCTCCTTCATCACTCAGGCCATGAGACCCAGAAGCCTCACCCCACAGAGGGTGAACCCAGACGTCTTGGGGACCACCCCAAAGAAGTGGCGACTATGTAAATCCTACGAGTTTGACTTGTGACATTTTTATTCACCATCATGATTGGGAACGTCGGTGTGGCACTGGTGTATCCAGGAAAGAACAGAGGTGTTGGGGTCGGGCAGCATGTCTCAGCATGACTGCGCCCTCCCTCTGAGCACTCTGAGGGCTATTTCTTCTTCTTGGGCAAGGATGGGGTGAGAGGACACAGCTGGGTGCCCCCTCCATTGACTGCCTGGACCAGCTTGTTCGAAGTCAGAGCACCCTTGGATGCACCCTCCCTGGAGGCTTCGCTGTGCCTGGGTTGGGGGTCCTCTCTGCTTTCTCTCTCCTGATAGTCAAGGCAGGACCCACCCCCTCCATTTACAAAGCCCGCCTCCCCGCTCCACTTGATCAAAATGGAGAAAAAGAGAAACGAAGTGAGCCCTGCACCAAGGGGATGTCACAAACCCTTCCACCCTGGCCTCTGTATAAACAGCCCGACGTGCTTGGGCGGACTGGGGGTGATGGGCTGAAAGGTGGACCCTGGGAGGACTGGGGGTGATGGGCTGAAAGGTGGCCCCCCGAGAGGTGCACTCCCTGATCCCTGGGCCCATGACTGCGTCACATGGTACAGCGAAGGGGACTTTGCTGGTGGAATTAAGTTAAGGGTCTTGAGATGGGGAGATATTCCTGATTATTGGGTGGGTTCGGTGTAACCTGAGGGTATTCACAAAAGGGAGATAGGAGAGTCAGCAGCAGAGGTGACATGACTGTGTAAGGGGAGGAGCAGGGGGATCTGAAGGGGCACCACAGCTGCCTTTGAGGATGGAGGAAGGTGCCAGGGGCCAGGAGTGCGGGCACCTCTGCAGGCCAGAGAAACAGAGAATCAGACTCTCCCTCAGGGCTGTGGAAGAAGAGTACTCCTCTAGCCCATTTCAGAACTTCTGGCCTGCAGGGCTGCAACAGAGTAAACGTGTGTGTGTGTTTCAAACTTGTGTCTCTGATCACCACCGTGGGCTTACTCGTCATAGCAGCAGCAGGTCCCTGATACCTGGTCTGTGGACACCAAGCTCGGTTCCTGGTTTTGATCTGGTAGGCGGTTTCCTTGCTCCATTTTTATTCAATATTTTACCTCCTTCAGCCTGTGTGGAAACAGCCCAAGAGTGTTTGAAACAGAGAAAGGAAACATAGCCCAGAACTTGACAAAAACATATAAAGTGGAATTTTCCCTGGGGTGGGCTTGGGGTGGGTCTTTAACTCCTGGAACCAGAGTCACGGGTCCTCATCCCCTGCCAGCTGGCACGGCTGATGCACAGGGTACAAGATGGCATCCCCACAGCCCAGCTCGCAGGGCGGCGGTTGGCAGATGGCCAACACTCTGGTGTCTGAAAGTGCGTGTTGTGCTTCTACGAATCACCTCGGGGAGACCAGCATCCCTTCAAGATAACAGGGTCTCACAGCCTCTGCGGAGTCCCTTCTCTCCAGTGTGAGTCATGCAAACAAAGAACTGGCATCAGTTGCCCTGGATCCAGTTCCTCCAGTTAAACGCGGAGTTGGAGCCATGAGTCAGCGTCTTCACGGGCGGGTTCACCAACTCCCATTTTCCTTCCTCTTTGTTTTCTTCGCAGAAGCACATACCCAGAGACGGGATCTGGAGCAGAGTTAAATCAGTTATTAATATTCCATACCAGGTCGATTGATTTTAGACTTGTTCTCAAGCCAGTAGCCTTGAAGCCTGCGTGATACATCCATGCTGGCACCGTGACCCTGAACTTGGCACTGACATCCAACACAGCGACCCCCAGGGGGACTCCCTGCCCCTTCCACGGCAGTGGGAAGTGTCTGCAGACCTCATTGTCTGTCATAATTGGGGTGCCATGGCATCTCAGGGTGAGGGAGGGCTGTATTTTTTCCTGGCAGTGCAGGGAGGGGCTCAGAGACCTAAGGGCTTTGCACAGCAAAGAGAGGTGCTGGCTGGGCCAGGCCGGGCCAGGGGTCTACTCTTCTGCAGCCTGCAGGCCACTCTGGAGCTCAGAGACACCTTGCTGTCCACACCTGTGGTAAACAAGCCGTGGTCGGCAATGGCCAGGTCAGGGACCTATCGCTCATCACAGGTGTTGTCTGCACTGCAGCACTCCCAGCCTCAAGGTCGTTGGTCAATCAGCTGATTAACTTGCTGAAAAGGACAAGGGCAGAGGGCAAGTGTATCCCTGAGTAGGTCTCTGGGGCAGGGAATGGGGAGGGCTAAGTCCTGAGTTTGCCTGCCTCCTTCATCTCGCCAATGCTGCTCGTCATCTCTGCTTTGCTGGGTGATGCTCCACAGGTTGGTCCACCTGTTATTCTTCTCTACACATCCAGCACCCACTTGATTTTTCAGTATGTGTTGAGGGCAGGAGGAGAAGGGGATGGCAGCGGATGAGATGGTTGTATGGCATCACCAACTCAATGGACAAGCATCTGAGCAAACTCCCAGAGATAGTGAAGGGCAGGGAAGCCTGGTGTGCTGCAGTCCATGGGGTCCAGAGAGTTCATGACTGAACAACAACAGATGACTCCGGCCCAGCACCAGGCACTCTGACAGCTTCGACAAGCTCCTATGTTTCATGGCTTGATGACTTCAAAGGCTAGAGGGAGGGGCTGCTTTCTGTCTGTCTGCAGTCTCCCCCCTCACCCACCCCATCCCCGGAGCAAGCCAGCCCAATAACTGCTCTTTTTCTTCTTTCTTAATTAGCTCAACCTCTGCACCTACCCTCTCCAAAAGGACCATGTGCTCAACTACTACAGTAGTAAGGAATTATCATATGACCTGATTATAAAAGTCCTCTGTCTTGTTTTTTATATTAACTTGGCAGCAAATGGCCAAAGCTGCCATGATGATAAAGATGACAAACATCCTCTGACAGTCCCTTGCCTGCAGCTACCCTCTGCACAAGAGCCAGTGGACACCTTCTCAGGGGAAAAGGTGTGGGGGTCCCTACTGCTCTGGGTTGTTCAAGACATTTGTCTCTGTTCTGAGAAGGGGATGTGGGGACCCACATCCTCAGGCTGCCTGCTTCCATGGCCCCAAGAGAAAAGAGGGGGCGCTTACCTTTCTCACGAGCTGGGCAAAGTCCGCGCAGTCCCGGGGCGGCAGCCCAAGCAGCGGGCGAGTGCAGGTGTCCAGCGCCGAGCCATGGCCCACGACCAGGATGACGCCTGCTGTGGAAGGAAAGCACCCCGAGTCAGAGCAAGCACGGAGGATGCCCCTTATCAGACGGTGGCCCCAGAGTGGTCGGGTGGAATAAACTTGTGGTGCCCCGAGGCCTTGGCAACCCCGGATGGAGGTAGGCATGGTTGGCAACAGGTTAATAACACTGGCAACTGGCCTCTGGTTTGTGTGTAAGGTCTTCTGAGCCCGTCACATCCTCACACGGGGCCGGCACAGACATACCTGCCCTCGAGCTTCAGGAATGGGACAGTGCCAAGCTCTGAGCTGTGTTGTCCAGGCCTGTGAACTTGAGCTTGATCAGCTGGTCATCACAATGGACCACGGAGGACTCTCACTTTATGGAAGGACCTCCAGAGTCCACGGCAACATGTAAGGGCAGCCAAGGCTGGGATGATGCCAGCCTGGGGAGTTAGACCTGCTGCCGAGTCAGGGAGACCCTGGGGCTGTACCCACTGCACTGCCTGAGGAGGAAACTGGAACCCAAGCTTCCTTGGAAAGTCCTGGCCCGCAGAGTGGTCCATTCAGGTTGCGCTAATGTGACTGTAAGGACTTCCCAGGTGGCATAGTGGTAAAGAACCCACCTGCAATGCAGGAGACACTAGAGGCGACGGTTCAATCCCCGGGTCGGGAAGATCCCCTGGAGGAAGGCATGGCAGCCCACTGCAGTGTTCTTGCCTGGAGAATCCCATGGACAGAGGAGCCTGGCGGGCTACAGTCCATGGGGTTGCAACCACACCATGACTTTGTAGGCCACATCTCTTGCATCTCCTGTACTGCAGGAGGGCTCTTTACCACTGAGTCACAGGTGAAGCCCGTAACATTCCTGCTCTTCCAGACGTGTCCACCCCTTTCCTCTAATAACATTCAAGTCTCTTGAGGGATTATTACGTGTCTTCTTCACTGACATTTTCCCATGATGTTCTATTTGATGCCTGACACATGGCTGATGTTCACACTTGCTAACTTAAATCTTATAGCATTAGCTTTTCATGTTTCACCATGGACATTTTCACATATACCCCAAAGGCAGGTCTGATGAATCCCCGTGTCCTCATCAGGGAGCTCCAACAGTTGTTGATGTTCTGCCCATCTGGTATCATCTGTCTGTTACCTGACATCCTTCCCTGTGAGGTATTTTTATTTTATTTTTTCTGAAGTATAGTTGATGTACAATATTATATAAGGCATACAATATAGTGATTTGTAATTTTAACAGTTACACTCCATTCATAGCTACTCTAAAATATTGGCTATTTTCCCCATGTTGCACAATAGATCCTTGTAGCTGATTTTATACCTAGCAGTTTATATCTCTTACTCCCTTCTTCCATCTTCCCCCTCCCTACTTCCCTCTCCCCAGCAGTTCATTCTCCCACCACTCATTCATTCCCTGTATCTGCATCTGCTCCTTTTTGTGTTATATTCACTAGTTTGTTGTATTTTTAGATTCCACATACAAGTGCAGTGTTTGTCTTTCTCTGTCTGACTTACTTCACTTAGCATAATGCCCTCCAAGTCCATCCATGTTGTTACAAATGTCAAAATTTCATCCTTTTTATGGCTGAGTGGTATCCCATTGTACATATGTACCACATCTCAATTTGTTGATTGGATGATGGACACTTAATGCATTTTTTAAAGTGTAGCCCAAATATCATGCTACTTTGTAGGATGTACCACAGTTTGCATCTCCAAATGAGGACTTCTCATTTTTACACAACTGCTATGCCATTACCCCACTAACTAAATTAACAGTGCTTCTTAATTATTTCCGTATTCAGCTTCCATATTTAAATTTCTCTAATAGACTCAGCCATCAACTTAAACAGATGTTTTGTTTGAATCGTCATTTAGACATGACCCAACATTTGGTAGTTTGGCTCTTAGCTTCTTCCTTTGCTTCCTGGGAAATGGGCATGGGCGGTCTGTGTTGACCCTACTATCCTGGGTCCCATCGGTTCCAGAATCGGGGGCCCCAGGGTGGGGTGGTGGTGGGGGGTGTGTCTCTACAGAGGCAGTGGTATAGCACTCTGGAGGTGGGGAAACTGGATGGGGGAGGTCGGGGCATGCCCAGGTTCAAAATCAGCCATTTCCAACTCAGAGGTGGGGGACCCCGACCCCCGGGGCTGCCGTACCAAGGTCGCTGGGGCACTTACCGTCCTGTGGGCAGGTGCTGACGATCTGTTCCATGCTCACTGCACACCTGTGCACGTAATCATCATAGCCCTCAGCCGGCAGGAGAGAGGCGAGGGGGAAGGCCGGCCTGGAGGAGGAGAGCGGAGCTGCCATCTGACCCGCGTGTCAACAGAAGGAGCGAGATGGCTTTGCCTCTAGCTAGGGCTCACGGTCAGCAGTGAGCCTCCAGTTCTGTGCCCCAAACCAGCAAAGGGCTGGTGCTGGGGGCTGCAGGCTGCACTGCCACTGAGCAGCGGGCACACAGGCTTGTGATGGCAGAGCCGGCGACGGGCGGTTCTCTGGCCGACAGATGCTAGCTGGTCTCCCTGACCCTCGTCTCAGTGGGCCTGACCTGTAGGTTTCACGTCCAGTCTTGTGGACTCAGTTCAGTCAGAACCCCTCCCCCCCTGTATCTGACCACCCTGGATACCTGAGCAAACTCGGCTCCCCCTCCACCCCCAGACATGTCTGTACTCCTGCCTGTCTGCAGTAAGGATAGTTTAAGGTCTGCAAGGATCACCCTTTTCTTATATGAACTGTCCACCCCACCCTCTCCTGGTTGAAAAATTCCCACTGGGCCTTGTATTTGGAGAGGAGTCTGATCTCTCTCCTTCTGCTACGCCCCACTGCGGTGGTCCCTCATGAATAACACCTTCTTCATCATCTTTAACAAAAAGGAGGAAGCCTAGTTGCAGACATCGTGAGGTGGTTCACCTGTAATCCAGGCTGACGTTGAAATCCGCCTCCTTCATCTCTTCCAGGGTCATGAGGGTAGGGGTGGTTTTGCCGGCCTCCCACTTGGTCCATTCAAAGATGCCAGGTTCCACTCTTATCTTAACTTTTTTCTCCAGTTTGAACTCTGAATTTCAACAGAACACAAGTGTTTATCATCTTCAGGGTTTATTTTGACTTTCTGTAAATAAGTCTCTTCCTAGGTCTAAATCAACCCTTTGGGGGGAAAAACGTGATTTTATTTCACTTGGTGAATATTGTCCTGTGATGACGCACAGTCATGCTAGTTCTCAGACAAGAGCCACAGGGCAGTTGGAGGCAATAGGATGACCCTCTGTCCATCAGGAAGGACCAGAGTCTCCTGGGATCTGGAAGACACCAGCAGCCCCCTGGTGCTCGTCCTATCCTTGCATGCGCCCCACTGCACGCGGCATCTGGGCTCATCTTCAGGTTAAGAAGGAGCGCACCCATAAGGACTTGGCTGGTCCACTGATCCTCAGAAAAGACGAACAACTGTGGAGCCTGTCAGTCACACAGAAGCATCATCCTGGTAAACACTTAGCCCAGACGGAGCCAAAACAGAGGGTGGATGGGAGTCACCTTCCAGAACATTCTAAGTCTATCAGCTCACCCTTCCCTAGGATTTTTTTTTTTAATGAGAGAAAAAAAAAGCTCCACTTTCTATTGTAAATTAGAAAACTGGAAATGGAAGTCATGATCTGTTTTGCCAAAAATAGTACATATTTTTGCTATAGAAAAGCACATTCCATAACCTGACTTTTTTTTTATACCTTCGTAACTCTTCCTCCAATGACATCCTTTCCACTGCACCCCCACCCACACCGGCCAACTTGATCCAGTCTGTCATTCCCAGCTGTTGCAACCCTCTCCAAGCACAGCGCCAACCTCTCTCTTCTCTGCGTCCAGCCAACCCTCCTTTCTCTGCAGCTTTCTCCCTCTTGTATCTGACTCCAGCCTTCCTATTGCCTCCCGGGATTTCAGTCCATGGAGCCCACTCTTTTCTTCGAATCCTTCACCTTCCCCAGCCTCTAACTCCCCGCTTCGGCAGTTTAAAATCTCAGCTCCGTCTCCTTGGCCCTCCCTTGTACAACCTCAGCATCTCTTGCCCTTTCCTGTTCCATCGTGTTCACTTCTAAGACTTGTCCAGGGTTAGCCTAGCTCCTCCCTGCCCACACCTGCCCCAGCCTGGCTGATGGGTCTCGACATCGGGCCGTGCCCACGGTCTTACATGGTCATCCTCTACATCCCCATTTCCGTCCAAGTTCCCTTCCTGATTGGCATGTCCCAACTTCAGTGTCTCCTGCCTTATGCTCACCTGGTGACCTGACTTCCTGTGTCTCTGAGAACATGGAGGCAAGCCCCCTGCTCACTTCTGCCCCCATGTCCACACACTCTGCTCTTGGTCCCATCACTGCCGTGCTCCTAGGGTGACCCAGGTCTCCTGCCCTCTTCCCCATGTGGGATGGGGGTGGAACTGGGGTCTCCAGGGCAGCTGCCCCTCTGGCAGGGACTTGCTTCTTCCCGTAGGTGGATACCCACTCAGAAGGGTCTGCTGCTGGCTTCCTGACACACAACAGGCTTTGACAGTGCTGGACGGCTCCCAGGAGATCCTCCCCTTGCTCCAGGGAGGCTTGCATTTCAGACTTTTTTTTTTAAAAAAGTATGTATTTTAATTGAAGGCTAATTACTTTACAATATTGTAGTGGTTTTTGCCATCCATTGACATGAATCAGCCATGGGTGTACATGTGTTCCCCATCCTGAACCCCCCCCACCTTCCTCCCCATCCCATCCCTCAGGGTCGTCCCAGTGCACCAGCCCTGAGCACCCTGTCTCCTGCATCGAACCTGGACTGGCGATCTGTTTCACATATGATCATATACAAGTTTCAATGNTGCTATTCTCTCAGATCATCCCATCCTCGTCTTTTCCCACAGAGTCCAAAAGACTGTTCTATATATCTGTGTTTCTTTTGCTGTCTCGCATATAGGGTTATCGTTACCATCTTTCTAAATTCCACATATATGTGTTAATATACTGTATTGGTGTTTTCCTTTCTGGCTTACTTCACTCTGTATAGTAGGCTCCAGTTTCATCCACCTCATTAGAACTGATTCAAATGTACTTTAGAAAGGACCAGAGCAGTTCCCAGTTCTCCGGGAAGAACCTCACCCTCAGGTTTTTTAAAAAACGCGTGCGTAAGTTGGTCAAAGGCAAATTAAAATCTTGACCTTCCAGAAATGCTAACAGGCTCTGTGCCTCCTCACAGTTCTCTGGAGCTGGTTCGCCACTGTCTTGTAAATTTAGACGGTCATTCACAGCCATCCACTCTCTTTGCACCTCTGCTCACTGCCCTCTCCCCCCAGAGAAGAACCATGAGGTCACGGCCACGTGAGAAGGTCGCTGCAGTTCTCACTGACCTCCCAGGATATGTTTGGCCGTCTGCACGCAGCGGAGGGCGGGGGAGCTGAAGACCGAGGTGATCCTGATGCCGCTGTCCAACAGAGCTTCCCCTGGAAAACAGCAGTGGGAAATATGCCCTCTTCATCACTGTAGCCGCCCGAGGGGGCAACTCCGGAGGGCAGCTTACTACCTGTGGCAGGAGGGCTCTTAGGTAGCTCCAAGATCCCCACCCCTTAGTGTATGTGCCCCATACAATTGTGCATGATGAGTGGGGGGAAACTGTGATTAAGGTCAGCTAGCATGCCCCCAGGGAGGAGCCCGTTTTAGTGTGTTCCTCCAGTTAACCAGTGCGTGACTTGGGAAGCCCATGAACCTTCCCGAGTCTAGATTTGAGTTTCTTAACTCATAGAATGCAGACCGGATGAGCTCAATGGTCTCTTCTCTCCACAAAGGCAAACAAGGGGAAACAAAAACCCAAAAAAAAAAAAAACCCAAAAGGAAAAAATTTGAAAAAAAAACAAAAAAAAGAAGGAACCTTCAAATTTTAAAAAGAAAACCCTAAGGGAAAAAAAAGGCAACGAATCTTTTTTTCTTCCTTTTCTTTCTTGTTCTTTTTATCCCTTTCATTCCTCCTGACTTCCCCACCAACCCATTCCTGGGTCAAGTCTCTGAGCTTCCACTTACTTGCTGTGTGATCTTGAGTTGCTATGTGATCTTGGGCAACATACTTAACCTCTCTGGGCCCCAGTTTCTTCATCAGCAGAGTGAGGATAATGCTATAACTGCCCTCAAAGCACATGGCAAGGGCTCAGTACAAGAGAGTGATAATCACTGCTATAATCATTGCTACTCTTCTCTTGGTTGTTGCTGTTTAATCGCTAAGTTGTGTCTGACTCTTGCAACCCCATGGACTGTAGCCCGCCAGGTTCCTCTGTCCATGGGATTCTGCAGGCAAGAATTCTGGAGTGGGTTGCCATTTCCTTCTCTAAGGGATCTTCCCAACCCAGGGATTGAGCCCTTCCTTTTCTGCCTTGGCAGGCAGATTCTTTACCACTGAGCCACCTGGGAAGCCCCATTCCTCCTAGGTTGAGCCTCAAACATACCTGCCATTCTGGACTGGAAAATTCCACAAGAAGATAATGGTGGATCATTTTCAAAGTCTTTGATACCGCGGCTCCGTTTGGGCAGGCTGCGAGGGAAGTTCAGGTCTGGCCGGTAGTATTTTCCTACAGCATAAATAAGCACCAGTTGTTCAATTCCATCAAGTTGGTTCATACCTGTCCCACTAAATGCTTAAGGTCAAGAACCACATTTGAAGCACAGTAATTAAACTGTTGTCAACAGCGTTTTTTCTTGAACGTACCCTGCGATGTAGATTGAATTTCAGGAGGAAATTCTATTCTACCCAGCACACATTTCCTCAAACTCAGAAAACCTGTGTTTCATCTGCAGGCACCACCAGACTGTCTTCATCCTCTGAAAACCCCTCCCAAAGATACACTCATGCAATTGCCCTGATTAAGAACAAGCATCTCCATGACTGACTTAGCTTAACTCAATGAGAATCTCAAATTGGCATTAATTAATTAGATGCAACTCAACCCATCTCCTTGGCTTTTAAGGTGTCACATTGCCTGTGGGCCAGAATACAGATGGCAGGAGTGGGTCCCGCATTGTGTATTGTTAGTCAATTGCTTCAGGCTGGAGAATTCCATGGACAGAGGAGCCTGGTGGGCTACAGTCCATGGGGTCACAGAGAGTCCGACATGACTGAGTGACTTCATGTTCACTTTCACTTTTCAGGGGGGAGTGGACCTCAGGGGGATTCACTGGGACTGCCCCGCCCCCACCCCAATCCATTCAGAGGCTCAGAGCACTTTGGTTCACCTTGAGTTTGACCTTGAACTCTACGCTTGGACGGTCTGGTGCACATCTTGGCACCACCAGTGACTAGTTGCGTGATTAGAGGCAGCTGACTGACCCCTCCTTATCTGTAAAACACGGGTGATGATATAGTTGTTTGAATGAGTCAGTAAGGAGATGCCTGGAGCCCAGGGCCTGGCTCAGAGTAAACAGTCAGTAGGGTTAGTTCTGATCTCATCCTCAGATTATCAGTGATCCCCACAGAGGACTCTGTAACACACCAAGCCCTCACATCCTCTTACATGTCCCCCAGACATCCTGGCCACAACAGATTCTAGCAGCCAAACTCCTGTCCCAAGACCTGCTCTATGAATGTCATGTGGCCGGTTAGTCACTTGTGCCTGAACACACCAGACCAGCCTTCCAACAGTTCACCAATCAGAGAGAGGTAGGGTTTTCCATGCCTTGTTTTTTTAGGTTCCATGCAAGAGTTTTTAGAAGCCGCCTCCCCAGAATTTCCATTGACAGAGACTTTGTTGGAACTGGAAGCCTTAAAGGCTTTTCTTAAATGCCAGAGTGTTAGCTGAGTCTGCACAGAAGGTGGCATTTGTTTTCCATTCAAAGAGAAGGTCCATCACTTTGATCATATTCTCAAGAGCATCTATGACTCCCCAGATGTGAACCTATTCTTTTGAGGTCTTCTGCCCTCATTGATGCCTCATCTGTGGTCGCTTTGCGAGGTAGAGGGCAGAGCTCCAAAGAAGCCGAGGATCTGGGAGGAGGTTAGGTTCTGATGGGAATTCAGTCTGAGTAAAGAATGGTGCCCCCGGGCTCTGACTAAGAATATTGAGACGTGATCTGTGTTAGCGCTAATTCCTCCGTTTGGATCCTGCCAGGACCGTACTTACCATCGGGTGTTGTACACTGCTGCAGCCAGGACTTCCCAAAGATCTGGTCCACCCTCTCCCCATGGCGGACCACCAGGACGCTTCTCCTCACTATCGTGGCCTGGGATGGGGGGAGGAGAGGCACCTGAGGTTTAACACTGCGTTCTGAGACTTGTCCCCGGCCCCCACTCCAAGGCATCCCTCCTGTCCTTGTTCAATAGCTATGCTGTGTTATACTCAGTTGCTTTAGTCGTGTCCTACTCTTTGCAGCTCTGTGGATTGTAGCCTGCCAGGCTCCTCTGTCCATGGGATTCTCCAGGCAAGAATACTGGAGTGTATTGCCATGCCCTTCTCCAAGGGATCTTCCCAACCCAGGGATTGAACCCATGTCTGTTATACCTCCTGCATCAGCAGAGGGGTTCTTTACCACTAGTGCCACCTGGGAAGCCTGTTGAGCAGCTACAGCCTTTACAATGAAATGGGACTAGGAATCATCTATAATTTCCTGCAGCCTTTAATGTTCTGGGCACTAGAGCACACACAGGAAATGCAGAGAAAGTGGAATGAATGGTCCACCCCTCAGCACATCAGTTTTCCACCATCCCTACTCTTCCAAGTGCCTACCCTGGTCTTGGTCCCTTCAGGCTGAACTGGAATGAAACACCCTGCATGACCGACAACAGACATTTGAGTCTCACAGTTCTGGGGCTGGAAGTGTCAGGTGTCCAAGGTCAGGCCCAGCGGTCGGGGGAGGGTCCTCACACAGTGGAGGCTGGGGGTGCTCTGGGATCTTGGTCCTAAGGTCACTGACCCTTCTCTTGAGGGCCCCACCCAAGTGGTCAAGCACCTTCCAAAGGCCCCACCTCCAAACACCATCACACTAATCAACAGATTTCAATATAGGATTTTGGGAGGGGACACAGTCTTCATCCCTCCAGAGTAACTACTTAGGATATTGTCTGCATCTATCTAAGTATAATAATATGCACATTATTACCATATGACATAATATGTAATTGTAATCTATTCTAGCATATATTAGAATATATAATTATATATAATCTATAGTGTATGTGTGTGTGTGTGTTCCTTGCTCGGTCATGTCTGACTCTTTGCGACCCCATGGACTGTAACCCTCCAGGTTCCTCCGTCCATGGGATTCTCCAGGCAAGAATACTGGAGTGGGTAGCCTGCTCCTTTTCCAGGGTATCTTTCTGACTCAGGGATTGAACTTACGTCTCCCGCATTGCAAGCAGATTCTTTACCTTCTGAGCCACCAGGGAAACCATAATCTATAGTATTAACATAAGAATATAAAATATATATTATACAATATAATAGATGTATATGTATGATATGTAGATAAGTACAGATCTTTTCTCAATTTGTGATGGGTTACAGTCCAATAAAACCATCATAAGTTGAAAATGTCCTAAGTTGGGAATGCATTTAATGCATCGAAACAACTGAACATCTAGTTCAGTCCAGTCTACCTTAACCGTGCTCAAACACCTACATTAGCTGACAGCTGGGCAAACTCATCTATCACAAAGCATATTCTATAATTGTGTTGAACATCTCCTGTGATTTGCTGGATACTGTACTGAAAGTGAAAAACAGAATGGCTGTCTAGGTGCAACATGGTTATCAGTGTATCAGTATTTCACCCTTGTGATCACGGGCTAATGGGGCTGCTGCTGCCACTGGCAAGCATCAGAGAGAGGACTGGACTGCACATCACTAGTCTCGGGAAAGAGCAAAATTCAAGTATTTAAAATTCTACTGAACGCATTTGCTTTTATATCATAAAGTCAAAAGATTGTAAGTTGAACCTTTAAGTTGGGGACCCTCTGTATCTAATGTATCTATCTATGCATCTTCTATGTATCTATTATTTGTCTATCTGTCTATCATTTATCCATCCATCCATCCTAGTCTCCTCTGTTGCTAACACTTGTCTTCTTCTGAAGGGCCCTCCAGGACCACCCAGGCGTTGGCATGTTAAAGATGGTTCTCTGCTTGGTGTCAGGGTATATGTTTAGCTCTGAGTAACCAGGCGAGAGGGGCTTCCCAGGTGGCGCTAGTGGTAAAGAACCCACCTGCCAATGCAGGAGATATAGAGAGACACGAGTTTGATCCCTGAGTTGGGAGGATCCCTTGGAGGAGGGCATAGCAACCCACATGGAGAATCCCAGGACAGAGGAAGCTGGCAGGCCACAGTCCATGGGGTCGCAAAGAGTCCAACATGACTGAGTGACTGAACAGTAGTTCTGGAGCAGAATGGGAAATTCCACATCAGAACAGGCCCGTGGTCTCCTGTGACTTGCGCCATCAGCATCAGGAGCACCTGTGCCTGATTCTGGGACACAAGGCGTCGTCCACAGGTGCCCCACTTAGGGGGTCTCATTGGGGCTGAGGACAAGCGTGGAAAGATGAGTCACAGATGGCAGAGGATGGGGGGGGCAGAGCAGATGGTGCTGCCACAGGAGGTGGGCTGGGGGGACTCCACGGAGGACGCAGGGCTTGGTCATGCCTGGCGTCGAGGTCACCAGGGATGTTTGGGCTGAAATCACCGGGGAGGTTATAGCCCCCACTTCAGGGGCTGAAAACAAGAGTAGCTCATTCCCTTCCAGTTCTGAAGGCTCAAAATGAAGGCATCGCAGGGCCAGGTCCCCTCAGAGGCTCTAGGGGAGGGTCCTTCCTGCCTCTTTGAGCTCCCGGCCCCCAGCATCCTTGGCATGTGGCCGCCTTAGTGGGTAGCTCCAGGTTCTGCCTCCCGGGCACGTGGCTTCTCCCTGAGGGCTGCGTCTCCTCTTCTACGTGCATCACACCCCTGCTTTCAGTGATTCGGTTTAGAACCACAGGATAATCCAGAACAACCTCTCCACTGAGATTCTCATCTCAGCCCCAAAGGCAGAGACACGTTTCCTTGTAACTTTCACAGGCGGCAGGAACTGAGACCTCATTTCTTTGGGGCTGTTGTTCAGCCCACTACATGATTGTTTTAGCACACCTATGGCCAGTTTTCCTTTCTTACAGCATGGATGAAGTGGTCTCAGACCAGGGGAGGGTTCCGTCCACAGGACTGGTGTCAGGGTCTCACCTACTAAACACCAGCACGTTCACACAGAGGCTGAGCCCAAGCCTGAGCTTTTCCACCTAGCTCCTCTCCTTGTTCAATCTGAAAAGAGGGGGCTCAGGATCAGGGAGCCCCCAGCCCTGGTCCAGGCCAGTTCTCCCCCTCCCCAGTGACACTGAGGCAGGCAAGGGGTGGTGCCCATCTGTGACTGCCTGGGGCTGACAGGCCTCTGGCTCCCAGTCCATGGCTCTGCTTCCCAGGTCGTTGTCCCCCTGAGAACCCAGCTAGAGGTCACCATGATGTCTTCACACTGTTCTGGTGTCCCCTGCCCTGTGTTCAACTCTTGTCTGACCTAGAGGCATCCTCTGGGATCTGGTGGGTTCCTGGGGCAGAAGTCAGCTGGCTGATGGCAGAGTTAGGGAGAGAGCATGGCAGACTGGGAGGGCTGGGTCTCTACCCCTTCCCCACCATGTGTCTTGGCCCCGTGAGTGAGCTTTGGTCACGAGCACCGAGCTTTGGACAAGAGCTGTATGTGGACATCGTGGACCCTGTATGTGTCTTATGGACACTGGACAGATTCACAGCCATGTGTACGTGTGTGTGTGTGTGTGTATGTGTATATGTGAGTGTGTGTGTATATGTGTGTTTATGTGTGTGTGTAGTGTGTGTATGTGTATATGTCTATGTGTATATGTGAGTGTATGTGTATATGTGTATGTGTGTGTGTATATGTGTGTAGTTGTGTGTGTATGTGTGTATGTGTATGTGTGCGTATGTGTATATATGTGCGTGTAGTGTGTATATGTGTATGTGCGTGTAGTGTGTATATGTGTGTGTTGCATGTATGTGTATATGTGAGTGTGTGTGTATATGTGTGTTTATGTGTGTGTGTAGTGTGTGTATGTGTATAAGTGTATATGTGTGTATGTGTATATGTGTGTGTAGTGTGTGTATGTGTATATGTCTATGTGTATATGTGTGTGTATGTGTATATTTGTGTGTGTAGTGTGTGTATGTGTACATTTGTGTGTGTATGTGTATATGTGTGTATGTGTATATTTGTGTGTGTAGTGTGTGTGTACATGTATATGTGTGTGATGTGTATATTTGTGTGTGTAGTGTGTGTATGTGTATCTGTGTGTGTATGTGTGTGTGTATATTTGTGTGTGTAGTGTGTATATGTGTGTGTGTGTATAGTGTGTGTGTATGTGTGTGTGTGTATAGTGTGTGTGTATGTGTGTGTGTGTATAGTGTGTGTGTGTATATGTGTGTGTAGTGTGTGTGTACGTGTATATGTGTGTATGTGTATATATGTGTGTGTGTGTATGTGAGTGTGTGTATTTGTGTATGTAGAGTGTGTGTATGTGTATATGTGTGTGTATATGTGAGTATGTGCATGTGTATATGTGTGTGTATGTGTATATGTGTGTGTAGTGTGTGTACGTGTATATGTGTGTATGTGTATATATGTGTGTGTGTGTATGTGAGTGTGTGTATTTGTGTATGTAGTGTGTGTGTATGTGCATATGTGTGTGTATGAGTATATGTGAGTATGTGTATGTGTATACGTGTGTGTATGTGTGTGTGTATGTGTGTGTATATGTGAGTGTGTATGTGTAACTGGCTGATGGCAGAGTTAGGGAGAGAGCATGGCAGACTGGGAGGGCTGGGTCTCTACCCCTTCCCCACCATGTGTCCTGGCCCCGTGAGTGAGCTTTGGTCACGAGCACCGAGCTTTGGACAAGAGCTGTATGTGGACATTGTGGACCCTGTATGTGTCCTATGGACACTGGACAGATTCACAGCCATGTGTACGTGTGTATGTGTGTGTGTGTGTATGTGTGTATGTGTATATGTGTGTGTATGTGTGTATATGTGTGTAGTGTGTGTATGTGTGTATGTATATATGTGCGTGTAGTGTGTATATGTGTATGTGTGTATGTGCATATGTGCATATGTGTGTATGTGTATATGTGTGTGTCGTGTGTGTATGTGTATATGTCTATGTGTATATGTGTATATGTGTATATGTGAGTGTATGTGTATATGTGTGTGTATGTGTATATTTGTGTGTGTAGTGTGTGTGTATGTGTATATATGTGTGTGTATGTGTATATGTGTGTGTATATTTGTGTGTGTATGTGTATCTGTGTGTGTATGTGTGTGTGTGTATGTGTGTATGTGTATATTTGTGTGTGTAGTGTGTGTGTGTGTATGTGTGTGTGTGTATATGTGTGTGTATGTGAGTGTATATGTGTGTGTAGTGTGTGTATGTGTATATGTGTGTGTGTGTGAGTGTGTGTATTTGTGTATGTAGTGTGTGTGTATGTGTATATGTGTGTGTATGAGTATATGTGAGTATGTGTATGTGTATATGTGTGTGTATGTGTGTGTATATGTGAGTGTGTATGTGTATATGTGTATGTGTGTGTGGGTCACCCTCTTTCCCGGGGTGGATGGAGCAGAGGGACCTGGTAGCAGAAGGATGGGCCCTTTGCTGGTCCACCCGGGCCTGAGCTCCGGGAAGCAGTGTCTGAATGAAAGCTGCTCCTGGGAGGCGGAGTCTCCCCGGAGCTGACCCAGGACATGGCTGCGTGGCTTGTTTGACATCAAGGGCCCTGTCACCTGTAGGGACTGCAGGCTGCTGAGGCTTCTGGATGAGGATGGCGGGTTGGGCTCCCCGTTCCGTCTGCTGCTGGCCTCACCGTCCTTTCTGGAGCTCATGTCAGGGGCTACACTGAAGGTGTACGTCCTGTGGGAGAGGAAAGGGATGTCATGTCACGTGGACGCTGGGAGGTACCTGGTCATCACGTGACTGAGAAAGCAGGAGACCAGATGTGTGGGTGGGGCCATTTTGAGGGTGAAACAAAACAATGGTTCAGAACAGCTCTGTGCCCAAACTCATGGCATCTCCAGAGGAATGGTGGTGGTTTATCTTCATCACCACCTGTTATGGACTGAACTGTGTGTCCCCAAATGTCTAGTCCTGACACTCAGAACTTCCAATTGGGACTCTATCTGGAGGTAGGGTCTTTGAAGAGCGGATGAAGTTAAAATGAGGTCACCAGGGTGAGTGCTTATTCAACTTGCCCAGGTCCTTCTGAGAAGAGATCAGGGCACAGAGAGGAGACGACCATCTATGCATCCATGAGAGAGGCCTTGGGAACTTGAACTTGGACTTCCAGCCTCCAGGACTGTGAGAGAAGGGACATCTGTTTAAGCTGCCCCATCTGTGCTACCTTGTTACTGGGCAACCAGGGCATCATCCTCTTAGATTCACCTTCCAAAGGCACGAAGATGCTCATGGTGGGGATGCAGGGCTAAGGAAGCAGAACAGACATGTCAGTGCCATGGAAACACACAGAAAAGGCACCCATGCACGAGTGGGCAGGTGGGCAAACACAGTACCCAAGCAGTTGCAGACAGAGTGGAAGCTGCTGCTTGTCCAGGGACTCAAGAAAGCTGCCCTGTGTGGGCAGTTGCTTGGGACCTCTGAGGACCACCAAGGGCAAAGATCACAGCACACAAGAGCTGTGAGAACTCCAGAAGGCCTGCGGGTGATGGTGCCAAGGCAGAGGACAGGGTAGGGGCCAGAGGAGGAGTGTGAAAGAGGAACCAAGAGCTGATGGTCATGGAAATCCTCCAACAACAAGAAATTGCCAGGTTCCCCCAGTGGAAACTCAGTTTATAAAGGGGAAGGTCATCTTTTTAAACTGTATGTAAGAATGATCTGGGCTTGCCAGGTGGCGCTAATGGTAAAGAACCTGCCTGCTAAAGTAGGAGATGCAAGAGACATGGGTTTGGTCCCTGGGTCAGGAAGATCCCCTGGAGGAGGGCAGGGCAATCCACTCCATTATTCTTGCCTTGGAAATCCCATGCACAGAGGAGCCTGGCAGGCTACAGTCCATGGGGTCACACAGAGTCAGACAAGACTGAAGCGACTTAGCCTGCACACACACAAGAATGATCCACAGTCATTTCTTGGTTCCCTTTCTTACTGGACCTGAACCTGGGTCCTGGTAATTGTGAGGGGAGAACTACTTATACTGGAATATAACTATAGTTGTACTGGAGTTATACTGGAGTATAACTATATAACTAGTTATACTAGTTACACTCATGGGGCCTGTAGGCTGCTTTATAGCATGTGGGCAAGTTTCAAACAGGGTCGAGCAAAAGACATAGATGTTCAGAGCAACGAAATGAATAGTAGCTGGAGAGGGAAACAGGATAAAAAGAGAACTTGTGCTTGATTTTGTTTTTAAGATGACAGCATCTTTGTCTGCTGGTGGGAGCCCATTGGGGAGGGTCTCATGAGGACAGGTGATGCTGGTACAATGCCCTTGGAGGATGCAGGATGCCCAGGAGGTGTGGAATAAAACACTACAAACGGGCACCCTCAGCTAGGAGTTGGACTGAGCATCACAGTGTGATGAGGGGAGAAGGGTGAGTGGCCCAGAGGCTGCAGGTGACCAGAGTGGGGGACAATCTCCCCAAGTTCACCTCTCATAGTGGACAGGAGTGAAGAATGAAGCAGGTGGCCCGTGGACTAGATGAAAAAGTCAGACACAAAGCAACTGGTGAGCAGAGTGTCTGGGATTTATGGTGGGCGAGAAGGAGGCCGACAGTCCTCTCACGTGAGTGACCGGTGAGGGAGCATCGTCTTTATTACTATTTACTTTCTGAAAAGCATTGTCACCTTTCTCTTTAAATTGTAGCTTTGTCTATGATTTTAACATAGAGAAGGCTTACCATTTGGGCATTTAATAATCATTATTAAAGATGAAGCCCAGGAGACAGCACCTCAGATAGCCCCAAGAGACTGCTCCAAAGAGGCAGTGCTGTACTTAGTCATTCAGTGGTGCTGACTCTTTGGGACCCCACGGACTGCAGCATGCCAGGCTCCTCTGTCCAAGGGATTTTTCAGGCAAGGATACTGGAGTGGGTTGCCATTTCCCCCTCCAGGGGATCTTACTGACTTAGGGATCGAACTTTTGCATCACGGGTGGCTTCTCACCGTCTGAGCCACGGAGAAAGCCCAAAAGATGGCTCTGTTACATCTCATTTAAGATCTGTCCTATTGCTTCTCTGTTTTCAAACTCTACCCAGTCCAGAAATCAGAAATACCATCATTTAAACAGCCTTCTATTTTTTTTTTTTAATAATTTTCATTTTCTGTTTAACTCAACTCAGTGTGTGCTATACGATCATACAGAATACCACCTATTTTATACCCATTTATTTTCCTATTTCTGATGCACCCGTCAGATAGGAACCCCTAACATACCAGGTCTCCTGCTCTGCCATCTATTCTTTCCCTCATCAGTACCGTATTATAGATTTATAACATGCTTTTAGTATCTGGTAAGGTAGATGTCTCTTTTCATCACTTTTGTTTTCCAAAGTGTTCTCAGCTCTTCTCTCCTGTTTATTCCCCCAGATTAATTTTTCAAACATTCAGTGAAGTTCCAACAAATGACTCCATTGGGATTTCCCTAGAAGGTACTTCACTAAACCTGGAAATGACTCTAACAGGACTCATCTTGTTCCATCGTGAACCTGGTGTGTCCCTACTTATTCAGCCCATTCGTAAATGTTTTCCTTTCTCTCTGAGAGGCCCCAAGCCCTCCAGTTCTTGTAAGGCTGATGACTCCCAGGCCTGCATCCCGAGACTCTCACCGGGTCCTGAGCTGGGAGTGAAGCCATTTCTTCTTCATCTCAGGGGTCCACGGGCTTAGCCACCCACCTTTCATCCTCACAACCATACACTCAGAGTTAAAGCATTTCTGAAGTTGTCTGCGAGTTGTACCTTCTCTTTCCATGTCTCTCCTGTCTCAAGCGGTAAATCTTACTAGATGGGTTCAGGTTGAATAGATTTACTTGGCGCATATTCTTATAGCATTTAGGGCTTTAGCTGGTGGTAAATAGATGAGAACATGATTCCTGTACTCGGACCATTGATGTTTCCCCCTTCAAGCGAACACGCTCTCAGTATTTGTAGAGTCTCACATTGATACAGGAAACCCTGATTGGTTTCCCCTTCCTGAGGGCGAGGTGGGGCCCCCCCCACACACACCCTTCTTGCGGCCCACAGAGCAGGTAGTGAAGCTGTGTTATCTATAAATAACATCTGTGAAGCTTACAGTGAGAGAGAAAAATTGAATTTTTTTTTTTTTGCTAGTCTGTCAAATGAAACACAACCTAGATTATGAAGGGGATGCTGGCAATGAGAAGAAAAAGGAAAGAATGTAGCAATTAGATATTTCTGTTTTTCTCTTAAACCTCAGAAAACTACTTAATGCTTAACTTACACCATAGAGATAGATGCGTTTAAATGCTCCCTGACTTTTGCCAGGGGCACAGCTGCCGTTTGTGGGTTGTGTGGACTGTGTCCCAGCGTGTCTTCCAGAGATGCCAGGGTGAGGAATCGCAGGCAAGGTGGCTTAAAGGACAGATATTTATTCTCACACAGTCTGGAGCTTGAGAGTCCAAGACCGAGGTGTGGTCAAGGCTGGTTCCCCCTGAGGCCTGTCTCCTGGGCGTGTGCGTGGCCATCTTCTCCCTGTGTCCAAGTGTGATCGTCCTTCTCAATGTGTGTTTGTGTCCTCATCTCTTGCTCTTCATATAAGGACACCAGTCAGCTGGACCAGGGCTCATCCTTGAGATCTGCTTCTACCTCAGTCACCTCTTTAAAGAACTTCCCTGGTGACTCAGACGGGAAAGCGTCTGCCTACAGTGTGGGAGACCCGGGTTCGATCTCTGGGTCGGGAAGATCCCCTGGAGGAGGAAATGGCAACCCACTCCAGTAGTCTTGCCTGGAAAATCCCATGGACGGAGGAGCCTGGTAGGCTACAGCCTATGAGGTCGAAAAGAGTCAGATACGACTGAGCGACTTCAACTTTTTCACCGCTATTAAGACTCATCTCCAAATATAGAGGTGCTGGGGCTTAGGATGTCAACATAAGAATTTGGGGGACCCAGTGCAGCCCATGACAACACCTTTATAGCTTCTGAGCTACTTGCCACCAACTTGCTCTGTGGTTTTGGAAACTTACGGGAGTGTATTGCTTCCAGGTTGGGACTCTTATCCTGGCTCAGAGAGGATGTGTTCTCTGAGCTCTAATATTCCCAGCTCTTTGTTTGACGGTTATACTACGTCCTCCTTCTCCATGGAGGGTTGAAAACTTATGATTCATGTATGAACTCCATCGTCATCACGTTGGTGGCCTCTGATCTTTTTCTTCAAAGTAATGGGCAAAATAATAGTCATTTTGTTGCCAAGTGAATCCAGAGACCCTGAACTATTGGCACGAGGCCTGAACAGTCGTAGTGAAGATGGGTCACTGGTGCAGGAGAACTTTTCCTGCTTGGATTGCATGTGCCAAGTGTGAATTCTGCACTGACACTTTTCAAGATATTTATCCACTGTCTGAACAACAGTGTGTCTGCCCGTAGCCAAGGTAGCCTTGGGGCAATGTCATTGAGCTGCAATTTCTTAATGTCTGCTTAAGCGATTAGCGATGTGTCCTGACATTCTGGGGCCGGTTTTTGATTAAAAAGCTCTGAATGTTTAATAAAGTACACTTTTGGCCGTTTTAAAAGACATAGCCAGGACACCTGAGTCTGACAGCGGAGCTGGGTCTGCCTTTCTGAGCCATAATCACAGCCCACTGTTTGCCATGCATCTTCCCCAGCGTGAATGGGGCGCTTCCAAAACATGGTCGTCAGACACCCACAGCCCAGCTCAGCATTCAGTTTTCCCTTCTTTTGCTGTGATTCTTGTTAATAGTTATTCATTTCTACAGGAAACTTGCTTCTAGAAGGAGTAGTCTCAGAAATGTCCAGCCTTAAAGCTGGAATGGTTATTTTGGTAGCAGGTGACGGACAGATGAACTGTAAGATGAAAAATGTAACAACCGCAAACTCCTTTTCTCTAGAGTCTTTGCAGCATAGTTCTAGCAACATCCAGCTTGCCAGTTGCCTGGCGCCAGTGAAGCTCTTTTGTCCTGAGCAAGGACTGAAGGACTTGCTAAAGGACAGGAGCCAGACGGAAGCCCGTGCCTCCTGGGCCTCAGATGGTCAGTTAGGGTGGAACCAGCATCTTCTGCCTGTGACTCCTTAAATGGGCTGACTGAACTGGTTCTACAAGGCACCAAGTGCTTCCTTAGTTGCATGATGAATTGGCCCCTCCAGCTCCCTGGGCCCAAGTGTTCTCACCTCTCAGAGAGGATGATGTAGCCAATTATCTCTGCAGTCACTCGTGGTACCAACATGCCATGATTTCATTCTGGCTACTGGACCCATTGCCATAGCCACATCCAAAAAATTGTGCTTCTCTGGAATGACTGGTGTCCTTGCTCCCGGGATGACTGTGATGGTTTCGTGGAAGCTGTGTCCCGTTCCAAGTCGGGTGTGGGAGGGCTTGGAGCCTGAGTCCTGCAGCGTGCACAATGGGCACAAAGCTTGGCCCCAGGCTTGTCTGACTTCTCTCCCTTTGACCCAACATCCTTATATTCTTTTCTTTAAACTTAAAATTGATTATCTTATATTTTGAAGAAGTAATGCATTTCTAAGTTTCAAAAATTTTAAAAATTATGCAGTTGTAGAGACCTAAAAAACCATTCTCCCAATTCCACCTTCAACCCTGCAGGGTAGCACTGTTGGAAGTTTCTAGAGGTTTTCCCTTCTAGGAAACTTTTAGGCATAAATGTGCATTTAAATATATTTGAGTACAGATGATCATGTTTTAATTCATCTTTTCCCCACAATTAGTACCATCCTATACACATTGTTCTGCAATTTACCTTGTATTTTTTTATATCAGTGCGTAAATACCTCCTCGTGATCATTTTTATAAACCTCAAGTTTTCTATTGTATGGGCCTATCATAATTGATTTCAGTGGCTTATTTTTAATTTAATTATCTCTTCCACAGTACTTGCGTGCTTCCATAATTTATCAGGTTCGAAATAAGAAAGTGTATTTTGTAGTCCTCTGGGGATTATGGTCTCAGAAAAGTTTTATAGAGTAATCGATGTCTTCTGAATGTTTTCAGTGGAAAGCCAAGAATTGGTCAAGACATTTATCAGATGCCTACAGGGATAATGCTGCCAGCATGGAGCAGGCCATTTTCACTGATGGTGGAATGATTTAGAAACATACAAGCACTGGGAACACTGCTTCCAGACAGACACTGTCTGTAACTCCAGGAGAGACATGTGGGCTGCGGGGCGGGAGCGGCACTCACCTGTGTCTCACCCAGGTGTCACACTCGCTGGCTCGCTCCGTGTAATTCTCCGGCAGGAAGCCCCGGCAGCCCGTCCGCTGCGAGATCCCGATCACCCAGCCCTCGCTGGCTTCCTCCTGCTGCGTGGGGTCCACAAAGATGTAGTCGCCGGGGCTGAGCGTCAGCTCATCCACGTTCTGGGGTTTGTACTGGAACAGGACCCGCAGGGTCTGGAAAGGAGGTGGGAGTCTTCAGATCTCGAGTAAGGACGGGTGGTGTCTCCAGGACACACCCAAGCCTTCGGCTGATGACAGTGCAATGTGACCAAAGGATGCACAGACTTCTTGGGAGAGATTTAGAAATGGGTATTGGTATCTACCGGTCATGTCTCTGTCTCTCTCATCTATCTACCAATGTATCTGTATTTCTGCTCACTCACTCATGTTCCCTGGTGAAGGAAATGGCAACCCACTCCAGTACTCCTTTCTGGAAAATCCCATGAATGGAGGAGCCTGATAATCTACAGTCCATGGGGTCTTGAAGAGTCTGACACGACTGAAGTGACTTTGCAGCAGCAGCAGCAGTCACGTCCCACTCTCTGTGACCCCATGGATGGTAGCCTGCCAGGCTCTTGCCAGGCTAGAAGGAAATCTAGCCATTTCCTTCTCTGAGGGATCTTCCTGACCCAGGAATCAAACCCGAATCTCCTGCATTGGCAGGCAATTCTTTACCATTAGTGCCACCCATCTATCATCTACATAACATCTATCAATCATCTATCATCTATATTTCTGTATCTATTATCTATCTATCCATCATCTACTAAACATCTACCTGCCTGTGTATCCTCTATCAATTATCTATCTATACCTATCTAATTATCTACCTACCTACCTACCTATCTCTGTTTACTTATTTCTTATGTGAAAAATCTCAAAGCATAACCAGATGTCACATCCACCCCCACTGGAGTGAGGTTATTTATAGCTTCTTTCATGTGAAGGAACACAGTGGGCTCATTTATACTTGTTCCATGGGTCTGAAAAGGAGTATAACAAAACCTTCTAAACCAATCAATCCCACGGGGAGGAAGTCCTGCACCGAGGCATCACTGAATCACTAAACAAATTAATAAGCAACATAATGCATTCATAAATCTTTGCAACAGTCCATTTTTAATACCAGTCGCATGGGGAGGGAGTCCTGGACTGAGACTTCACTCAAGTCACTATTTAAACAAATTAATAACCAACATAATATATTCATAAATCTTTGCAACAGTCCACTTTTAATACCAGAAATGTTCCTTTTTTCCCCTCCAAATTTCTGGATTTCTGCAACTCATAAACAAAAGAACGTTAATTCCAAAATGCAGGCAACAAAATGATTTTCAAGAAGGGATTCAAATTCTTCCTTCTACAGAGATACCTCCAGCCAAGGGCTCTTGGGGTCAGGGCTCTGTCAGGCAGGCAGCAGCTCACCTGATCCCAGGGTGGGGGACCCATTCCAGCCTGGGCTTACCCACCTGATAGTGTACAAAGCGCATGTCCCGTGAGTAGAGCGCAGCCGTCCACTGGCACCTGTGGCTGGGGTTGATGGCTCTGGCCAGCTGCTCCAGCGTCCTCTGGTGGTGAGGGTAGAACTTATGGGCCAGGGTGAGATGCAGCTGCTTGGTACAAGGCTTCACTGAGCAGTCTGTGAAAGGAGGCACATGGGCACCTTGACCCAGATGGCCGCACTGCATGCCCAGGGCTCCCTGTCCAGGGCGATTATGCGACCAGGGTGGTGGTGCAAATGCCTTTAGCCAGGGTCCTCCTATCTCTGCCCATCCTCACCCCCGCCCTCTGCACCAGCACTTTCCCGACAAGGCGAGGACTCGGCCCAGATGGGCCGCTGCATGGAGGTCAGTTTGCGAAGGAGATGGCTGGGAGCATGCACATCTGAAGGTGAGCAGAGAGAGTAGAAAAACAGGTTTGGGGGATATGCTTGGGCGGGGGGCGTCTATCAATTTGCAAGCTAGTTGCTCCAACAACTGATTCAAATCTCCCTTGTCCCCTGGGATGCACGTTACTCGGTGGCCTGGATGGGTGGGATCCCAGCCAGATCATGGGTGTTTTTTTCAATTGCCAAGTCTCTGGAAGATAACACCTCAGCACCTCTAATATCCGACTGGCTTTGTGAAACAGGAAGACTTTGGAGAGGCCAGGCCCTGGCCTTTTTGAGTGACCTCTGTCCTCGGGGCCCCAGCTCGCCTGGTCCTCATTCCAGGGCCCTCAGATCAGTGGGCAGTGGTGTCCCCGAAGCAGCCAGGATCTGATTTCAGCCAGGCCACAAAGCAGCTCTGTTCTGGGGAGGCAGTGATCAGTGGAACTGCATAGACTTGGGAATCAGATAGACCTGACTTTAGTCTCATCTGCCCCATTTGGCAGGTGACCTTGGGGAGCGTCTTGGTCTGACTCAGCTTCAGTTTCAACAGCGACAACCTGAGGGTGAGGATTGCTGGGCTGTCCTGGGAAACCAGCCTCTTAACTGTGAGGTCCCCCAGAGACTTGCAGTAGATGTTAGTTGCATGCTTGCTTCCATGTTCAGAGGCTTCAGTCGTGTTCGACTGTGTGAACCCTGTGGACTGTAGCCTGCCAGCCTCCTCTGTCCATGGGATTCTCCAGGCAAGAATACTGGAGTGGGTTGCCCTGCCCTCCTCCAGGGGATCTTCCTGACCCAGGGATCGAACCTGCGTCTCTTAGCGACTCCTGCATTGGCAGGCGGGTTCTTAACCACTAGTGCCACCTGGGAAGCCCAGATATTAGTTACCCACGGGCAACGGTGAGCCCCACACAAAGACCTGTCCTCAACTGAGCAACGCCAATGACGCACTTCCTGGAGCCCAGACTTGGCGGCCCCACCAACGTCTTTATCCTCTGTCTGAGACTTTGGTAGCAAAAGAGAAACTGCTGAGGTCTCCATGCCCNTGAGCCCCACACAAAGACCTGTCCTCAACTGAGCAACGCCAATGACGCACTTCCTGGAGCCCAGACTTGGCGGCCCCACCAACGTCTTTATCCTCTGTCTGAGACTTTGGTAGCAAAAGAGAAACTGCTGAGGTCTCCATGCCCCAAGCTGTGGGGGTTGAGGCGCCCGAAATAAGAGAGTGTGTGGGTGGCAGGGAAATTCCTTTTCTCAGGTGTTCCAACTGCAGTGGGGAGGGCTGTCTTGCCGCGGGTGAGTCAGCACGGCCTGGGAAGGGCCCGCCACGGTAGTCATCCAAGAGATCACCGAGTCACCGGCCTTCTGAATGGGCACTTGTGTATCTTCCCACCATGGCCCATGCCCCTGAGGACTGTGCGCTGGGCAGGGACACACGTGCCGGCAAGGCCCCTGGGAGCTGTGACTGACCCCTCCCGACCCAACAGGGTCAGGCCCAGGGCAGCGGCCATGGAAGGCAGGGCAGAACCAGCTCAGGGTTGGGTGATGGACAGGGGGTCAACACCAGCTCTCGAAGGACGTGGGGCCAGTCAGCAGGAAACCCAGGTGGAGCAGGAGAGGACTGGACTCCAGGGCTGGCTGTAACACTCACTGGCTCGGGGACTTTGTCAGTTTCCTGGGCTGATGTCACAAATGACCACACACTGGGCGGCTTAAAACAATGGAGATTTGTTCTCACGGTTCTGGAGCTGGAAATCCAAAACCAAGGCGTCAAGGGCCGCCCCCTCTGAAGGCTCTCGGGGAGGTCCCTCCTTGCTTCCTCCAGCTCCTTGGCTCGTTGCCACGTTACTTCAATGCCTGGCCTCTCCTCTCTGTCCCTGTGTTTCCTCGTCCCACAAGGACGCTGGTCAATGAACTTAGGGCCTGTTCTACACTAGTGTGACCTCAACTACTTACATCTACCAAGACCCTATTTCCAAAGAAAGTCCTTTTCGAAGGTTTTGGGAGACGTGAATTCTAGGGGACACTTTTCAACTCACGATAGTGACCTCAGGCGGGTCGCAGCCCTTCACAGCTCTTGGTCACTCCACTTTTAAAATGAGTGGCCATTGAGAGTCACTTTTGGTTGGAGGCAAAGGGTTGTGGAAGTAAGTGAGGCACTGTTTCTGTGTGAAGGCTAGCAGCTGACACATTACATCCTGAAAAGAGCCACATCACCCTTTTAGAGACAAGGGGACTCCAGAGTCATCATCTGAACTCAGGTTTGCATAAAGGAGACCACTCCTCACAAATGGCAACTCGCTCCAGTATTCTTGTCTAGAAAACCCCATGGACAGCGAAGCCTGGTGGGCTACAGTCCATGGGGTCACAAAGAGTCAGACATGACTGAGCAACTGAGGACTCCTCAAAGACATGGATAAGTTTATAACTATCTGGAAACTATGATCCCAGACTCATCAAGCCAGCCTCCCGGTGGAAATCTGGGAAAGATGAAACTATTCATGTGGCCAGGATCGAAGTTCATACCCGTCTTGGGGGCAGAGGGGGGTCCTCCCATCAGGGCACCATGATCTCTCCGAGTCTCAGACACAGCAAATTCAGCAGTGCCAAGCACCTCTGTGTTCTAGGACCACTGGGACGTTCCCAGACAGGTTGCACTGTTTGAAGGGTGGGCCCAGTCATTCGAAGAGAAAGAAGACTCAAGGGTCAAGGGTCAGAGGACAGGATTCAGGGTCACATCACCAACCAGGAATGAGGGAAAATTCACACCTGAGAGCAAGTCCAGAATGCTTCCCACTAAACCCGAGCTGGAGCCCCAGTCCCCAGACCAGGGCTGCTGGTTGAGAAAAGGGAATTTGGCTGATTCTCAAAGTGAGTCTAGGCATTCACCTCCCCCCTATCCCCCTACCAAGAGGCCAAGGAGACTAGACTATGCTCATACCTAAAAAATTTAAAGAAATCAACTAGGACTTGTGTTTTACACACAGTGCTGGCCCCTTGAGGACAGGTGTCCCGGGTGAGATGTGGGGCTGGGGGAGGTACCCCAGCCTGCAATCCCCATCGGCACAATGACCCCCGAGGGGCCATTTCCCAGCAGCTGAGTGTTTTGAAAAACCACATCAATGCAACAAGGCTTTTCTCACTTCGAGAAGAGTCCTCTGCTTGCTTGGAGTCTTTCTATTTGCTCACTTTTCTTAAAAATTAATTTTTTTTGGCATATCAGTTCAGTTCAGTTCAGTTGCTCAGTCGTGTCCGGCTCTTTGTGACTCCAAGGACTGCAGCACGCCAGGCTTTCCTGTCCTTCACCATCTCCCGGAGCTTGCTCAAACTCATGTCCATTGAGTCGGTGATACCATCCAACCATCTCATCCTCTGTCATCCCCTTCTCCTCCCGCCTTCAGTGTTTCCCAGCATCGGGGTCTTTTTCCAATAAGTCAGTTCTTCGCATCAGGTGGCCAAAGTATTGGCGTCTCTGCTTCAGCATCAGTCCCTCAAATGAACACTCAGGACTGATCTCCTTAGGATGGACTGGTTGGAAAGCCCAGAGTCAGTCACTTATGCATACACATGTATCCGTTCTTTTCAGCTTCTTTTCCCCTATAGGTCATTACAGAGTATGGTGTAGAGTTCCCTGAGCTACACTAGTTGTTGTTTAGTCGCTCAGTCGTGTCCACCTCTTATAGCGAGCGACTCCACGGACTTTAGCACACCAGGTTCCTCTGTCCATGGGATTTCCTAGGCAAGAATACTGGAGTGGGTTGCCATTTCTACCTCCAGGGAATCTTCCCAACCTTGGGGTTGAGCCTGCATCTCCTGCACTGGCAGATAGATTCTTAACCACTGAGTCACATTGGAAGTCCCATACTATACAGCAGGTTCTTACTGGTTACCTATTTTTTTGGAGTAATGTGTATATGTCAGTCCCCATAACCCAGTTCATCCCTTCCTTCTTCTTGGTAACCATACGTTTGTTTCCTACATCTGTGACTCTATTTCTGCTTCGTAAATATGGTCATTTGTGCCTTTGTTTTTTTTTAAGATTCCACAGATCAGCGATATCATATGGTGGTTGTCTTTCTCTGTCAAACTTACTTTACACAGGTTTCTGAAGGGCATTCTGGCGTTTTATGGAGGTTCTAGGTAATTGTTAAGCCTCAGGCTAAGGCTAAGTCATAGTTGTTGGCCATAAAGGGCCAGGGGAGGGCAGAAGTGACCTGGTGATGGGGCAGGCACCCCCGTGTCCCGCCACCAGACTAGCCCGCAGGCTGACCGTCGCTGCCCTGGGGAACAGCCTCACTCTTGCGGCCCTGGGCTCCACCCCTAGCATCCGAGCGTGGCGAGCTCAGCCCCAGGCACAAAGGGACTCTCGTCTGTAAACCAGGGCTCTGCGTGCACCACCGTCCAGGGCTGCCTACCTGCCAAGATGGAGGCTTCTGTGGCGAACATCACAGCAAATTCCCGGATGACGTCTGCGGGGCTGTCGTCCACAAAGAAGCCCAGGTAGCTGATGGAAGAATGCAGGACCAGAGGCACGGCCGAGGGGAACGCGCCCAGGGTCCTGTCCCCGGCTCTCTTCAGTGCCTCGTATAGACACTCCACCTTCTGGTCCTCGCACTGAGGGACAGAGACAGGATGGTCACCTGTCACCTTAACTGATGAGAACCAAGCAGCCGTAGGAGCCTCTTTTCTGCTCACGACACTGTAACACAATTTACCTGGACCCAGGGTTTGGGATGATGGGTCTGTTCTATAGCTGGTCCCCAGTTCCTTAGGTAATTCAGGTCAGCTCTTATTGGAATGGAATAGCCTCTAAATGCCCAGGCAGGAAACCCTGGGTCCCTTGAACTTCATCCCTCACTCTATCTTGAGTTGACCCAACCCCCCCATATTGCACTCTGAGCCCCTCTCCCACTCTGGTGCACAGATGTGCTCAGCACTGTATTATTGGCTTCTGGGGGTTCCTGTAGGCTCCATTGAGGCAGTCCTGGGGTGTGCTGCTCAGAACTTAACCTACTGAGGATGGTTGTAGCCTATTCCTTGGCTTTTAGCCTTCCGACTGGGCAGCAGGCCTTGCACTTGGCCAGTGATTGAACCGACCTTGTCTACAAGGGTCTCTTCTGATGTGGTCTTGGCTTATAAGCTCCCCATCAATCCCCACTGTCACCCACACACCCACTCTCTGACCACACAGCTCCTGGCTCAGTGAGGAAGACTCCATGAGGCTACGGGGGACCCACTCCAACACAGCAACCCCCATGGGGAGCTGGCTGATCCCTCCTCTCCCCAGCAGCAGGCACCCCCTGGGTTTCCCATGGCCCTCCTTGCTCTCTGAGCTGTGAACCTTATCATTGTTGTTAACACACACCCGCAGCTCCCCACTAACCAGGAGCTCACTAAATTCATCCCTGCCATATTTTTGCAGCCCTCACAGGCCTGGAAGGCATGGGATATACCCACAGGGCACTCAACTCATAACCGCCACATGGATGAACATCTCTTCACACGTATTTCTTGGCCTCAGGTGTGTAACCTTGGAGCATGGAGCCATGTTATACACGGAGCTGCAGTTGACGCCACCATTTGGTGGCTGTATGTTCTTAGAACCAGACAAAGAGTGAATTCCTGTTACACTCCACTGCTAGAAAAGGACCCTCAGCCTCTAGGGCGGGGTGGGGGAAAGTGGGGCAGCTACCTTGGGAGAAGGGAACTGTGTGCGTGATGTGTGCACATGTGCCCATGCCTCAGTGGGCTGTGAGGAGGAGCTGGATCCCCAGGTCAGTTCCCTGGTGGTCATGATCAGGCACATCCATTTCTAAGGTCATGTTCAGAGCTGGCTTGGCTGCCACTCCTTTCCCTGATGAGCTCCCAGGACAAGCCACAATAGAACCCGAGGTCACAAATGCCAGCGACGTCCAAGCAGGGTGACCAACTCACCCAGCTTACCTGGGACTTTTCTGGATTCAACACCTGGGAATCCCTCCCCACCCCATGGCAAATGAGGGTGTTTATCAGGGACTCTGGGAAGCACTGCTTCTCCTGGGCATCTTCTGGAAACCGTCCTGCACAGGTTTGCAGCCCCCTTTTTGTGCAATGCACAGGAGCCTGGATCAAAGGACTCCTTGGGCCCCAGTGGGACTCTGAGAGATTGCTGACATCAGAGCCAGGGTGGTGTGCCCTTGCTGCATTTTTCTGGTCAAGAGCCCCAGTGGTGTCCTTCCCTCCTCTCATTTTCATGTCTCCCTCTCATCCTTGAGCAGTCCAGGTCCTTCTCACCTTCCCAGGACGCCTGTAGAACTGCCTCTCTGACCTCTTCTGAGTCAGAGAGCTGATCCCCAGGGCAGGAAGAAGTCCTGCATCTGTGACTGGCCAATCTGTTCACTAATTGATCCATGGCAGGTTTGTGAAGCCCCCACTCAGGCTGAGGCACCTGCTAGTCTCTGCATGTACAATAGTGAGCAAAGCCTCCTCCCTCCCTTGAAGGTTTCAGTCCAGTAAGGGATGCCAAGTTGCATCAGACACACTGCCATGCAACAGGGAAAAAGCCACTAGATAGAGAAACGAAAGGATGGTGGGAGCGCAGAGCGCAGCAACGCTTCTAGCTGGGGAGATGTTGCCGTTTAGTCGTTGACTCTTTTACAACCCCATGGGCAGTAGCCCATCAGGCTCTCTGTCCGTGGGATTTTCTAGGCAAGAACACTAGAATGGGTTTCTATTTCCTTCTCCAGGGGATCTTCCCGATCCAGGGATCAAACCTGCATCTCCTACAATGCAGGTGAATTCTTTACCACTGAACCATCAGGGAAGCCTGCCTGGGGAGGTGGGGAAGACTTAAAAAGGGAGAGGATAAATGAGTTGGGTTCTGAAGGATGAATAGGAGTTGACCAGATGAAGATGAGGAAGAAAGTAAAGGCTAGTGACTGGCCAATCTGTTCACTAATTGACCCATGGCAGGTTTGTGAAGCCCCCACTCAGGCTGAGGCACCTGCTAGTCTCTGCATGTACAATAGTGAGCAAAGCCTCCTCCCTCCCTTGAAGGTTTCAGTCCAGTGAGGGATGCCAAGTTGCATCAGACACACTGCCGTGCAACAGGGAAAAAGCCACTAGACAGAGAAACGAAAGGATGGTGGGAGCACAACGCTTCTAGCTGGGGAGATGTTGCTGTTTAGTCGTTGACTCTTTTACAACCCCATGGGCAGTAGCCCATCAGGCTCTTCTGTCCATGGGATTTTCTAGGCAAGAATACTAGAATGGGTTTCTATTTCCTTCTCCAGGGGATCTTCCCGATCCAGGGATCAAACCTGCATCTCCTACAATGCAGGTGAATTCTTTACCGCTGAACCATCAGGGAAGCCTGCCTGGGGAGGTGGGGAAGACTTAAAAAGGGAGAGGATAAATGAGTTGGGTTCTGAAGGATGAATAGGAGTTGACCAGATGAAGATGAGGAAGAAAGTAAAGGCTATCTCATGCAAACATCACTGTGGTGGACCACTCTATGAAAATAAACCCCTTTGTTTGGCCCCATCACCACCTAGTTATTACAGGAAATGACTCGGCTGCTATGTTAATGAGAATTAAATGTGCCTTGGGCCAACTCACCGTGAAGAAGTCACAGAGTGTTATGTGAGGAAAGACCTCGTGGGCTCTGTTCTTGGCGCACTGCCGCCTGCTCTCTCTCCAGAAGTCTTGAAGCTTGTCCAGCAGGGGACCCGTGGGACAGAGGAATAGGGCGTACTCCTGGGGGATGGGGTCGTCCAGAGAAGGGTCATTGCAATGGCAGTGTAGCCTGCAAGAGAGGAAGGGACGCTGTCACCTGGCACTGTGGCCAAACGAGTCTTTCCCCACGGAGGGCAGAGGGCAGTGCTGACGGTGACTCAGAACGACCGGCCGTGTGTAGGGCACCACGGTGTCTGGGCCCAGGCAGAACTCACCGAGCACAGGGCTGAGTGTGATCGCAGAGGAGCCGGGCATCCACCCAGGTCTCTGTGCTGTGCTAAGCTGCTTCAGTCGTGTCTGACTTTGCAACCTCAAGGACTGTAGCCCACCAAGCTCCTCTGTCCATGGGATGCTCCAGGCAAGAGTACTGGAGTGGGTTGCCATTTCCTTCTCCAGTGGATCTTCCTGACCCAGGGATAGAACCTGTGTCTCTTATGTCTCCTGCATTGGCAGGCAGTTTCTTTACCACTAGTGCCACCTGGGAAACCAGGTCTCAGACCCTGGTTAGTCTGTCCCAGGCTAACAACAAAGACAAGGTGAGCAGGTGACCAAAATACTCAAAATCTGGTTTTCTAATGGTCTCTCTGGGTCAGATATCTCCTTAGGGTTGAAGTTTTCTGGGAAAAACCTGCATTTTAATTTTATCTCAGTCTTCAAATTAAGTATAAACTTCAAAGCCCCAAAGACCTGGACAGAACTTAGGTAGCTACTCTATTTTCTTCCAGTTCAGAAACTTATTTATTTTCCTTTGGCTGCTGCAAGCCTTAGCTGCGGCACGTGGGGTCTTTGGATGAGGCGTGTAGGCATCAGCATTTGTGGCTCGTGGGCTTAGCTGCTTCTAGGCATGTGTGATCATAGTTCATCCACTCCACTGCAAGGTGGGTTCTTAACTACTAGGCCACCAGGGAAGTCCCAGAAAGTAACTTTAAATACTATGAAAGATGACATGCAGCGCCCAAGTCAGGTTCATCCTCACCAATAATAAAAAATGAATAAAACTGAGGCAACCACGAGATACCACTTTTCTCACTTGTAAAATTAACAGAATGGCTTTCAGAGGATTAAAGCTATGCTTCATTTTGTCAATAGTGCCCAGAGACTGAAGGATGAATCTCTACAATCTTTACATAAAGCAATTTGTCAAGATGTATCAAGGGTGTTAAAATATCCCTTCCATTTGAACTAATAAATCCTTTCCAGAAACTTATTCAAGGCAAAAAGTGTAGATAACACTACATGTATAAAATATTTATTATACCATTATTTATAACAGGAAAGAAGGAAAAAACTACAAAAGTGATAATAACTTAATCATGTAGTCACTGGAAATTATAATTCGGATAATTTTTGATGGCTCAGAGAAGTGCTTGTGATATAATATTAAATTCAGAAATCAGGGTACAACCACTGGAGAAGACATGAGATACACACAAATACCTTCTTCTTAACAATAAAAAAACCCCAAGGAGGAAGCTTTGCTCCCTTTATCATAGCTCACTTATCCGCTCTAGAAGAGGAAATCTCAACTCTTAATCTGCTTTGTTTCCTTATAGACATTTAGGTAACAGGTGCATAGATAGCACTTGTGTATATTATTTAAATCATAAGCTATTGTTCAAATTATACTACAACTCACATTTTTTACTCAGCAATATGTTTTTGTAATTTCTCCCTGTTGATACACATACATCTGATTATGTCAGAGTGAAATTTCTAAGGGCTATAAAACAGTCCATACTTCATCCATCCACGCCACTGATGGACAGTTAAATTGTTTTCTTCTTTTAAAACTTCATAGCACTGTGATTAAGATCTTTTCACATTCTTTATTTTTTTTGGCTACTCTCTGAGGGGGATCCTAGTTCGCTAACTAGGGATGGAACCTGCAAACACTGCATTGGAAGCAGAGTCTTAATCACTGGACCAACCACCAGGGAAGTCCCCTGCACATTCTTTTTAGGATCTTTGCGTTTCTCCAAGGAATGCACAAAGACATGAACTGCCAGGCAGCATCTACCCACATTTTCAGTGTTGATATTCATCCCAAATTGCAACCAGGAAAGTGAGAGAGAGACCACCTTCCCTTCATCCTCACCACCGCTTGAAGCTGCCTTTTGTTGTTAACAGCATCCTAATTTGCACCCCCCTGATTACCCGCGAGGTTGGGCCACTCTTACAGAGTCCAAGGGACTCACGGTCTCCCTAATCCTTGGTGGGTCTGCTGGTGTGTCTGACTGAGTCACTACCAGCAGGGACCAACCACGACTTTCATAGCAGTATGTTCATTTTTAATTCCAATTTGGCCACTGACTTTAAAATAAACTCAAAATGGATTAAAGATCTAAACGTAAGACTAGAAACTGTAAAACTAGAGGAAAACATAGGCAAAACACTCTCTAACATAAACCACAGCAGGATCCTCTATGACCCACCTCCCAGAGCAATGGAAATAAAAGCAAAAATAAACAAATGGGACCTAATTAAACTTAAAAACTTTTGCACAACAAAGGAAACTATAAGCAAGGTGAAAAGACAGCCTGCAGAATGGGAGAAAAATAGTAGCAAATGAAGCAACTGACAAAGAATTAATCTCAAAAATATACAAGCAGCTCATGCATCTCAATACCAGAAAAATAAATGACCCAATCAAAAAATGGGCCAAAGAACTAAACAGACATTTCTCCAAGGAAGACATACAGATGGCTAACAAACACATGAAAAGATGCTCAACATCACTCATTATCAGAGAAATGCAAATCAAAACCACAATGAGGTACCATTACACGCCAGTCAGGATGGCTGCTATCCAAAAGTCTACAAGCAATAAATGCTGGAGAGGGTGTGGAGAAAAGGGAACCCTCTTACACTGTTGGTGGGAATGCAAATTAGTACAGCCACTATGGAAAACAGTGTGGAGATTTCTTAAAAAGCTGGAAATAGAACTGCCATATGACCCAGCAATCCCACTTCTGGGCATACACACCGAGGAAACCAGATCTGAAAGAGACACGTGCACCCCAATGTTCATCGCAGCACTGTTTATAATAGCCAGGACATGGAAGCAACCTAGATGCCCATCAGCAGACGAATGGATGAGGAAGCTGTGGTACATATACACCATGGAATATTACTCAGCCATTAAAAAGAATTCATTTGAATCAGTTCTAATGAGATGGATGAAACTGGAGCCCATTATACAGAGTGAAGTAAGCCAGAAAGATAAACACCAATACAGTATACTAATGCATATATATGGAATTTAGAAAGATGGTAACGATGACCCTATATGCGAGACAGCAAAAGAGACACAGATGTAAAGAACAGACTTTTGGACTCTGTGGGAGAAGGCGAGGGTGGGATGATTTGAGAGAATAGCATTGAAACATGTATATTATCATATGTGAAACAGATCGCCAGTCCAGGTTCGATGCATGAGACAGGGTGCTCAGGGCTGGTGCACTGGGATGACCCTGAGGAATGGGATGGGGAGGGAGGTGGGAGGAAGGGTCAGGATGGGGAACACATGTACACCCATGGCTGATTCATGTCAATGTATGGCAAAAACCACCACAATATTATAAAGTAATTAGCTTCCAATTAAAATAAATAAAAAAAGAAAAAAATAGGCAATTCAAATAAAATAAAATAAAGTCAGCCTAGTCCAGAGGGTCCTGGGTGTTTCCTATTTTCCTCTACAGGGGTTGCATTTTTGCCCTTGGCCTAGAGTTTTTGGAGGAGGAGGGGGGTCCTGCTGAGGACACGCTGAGCCCCTGGTGTTCACCATCCTGCTCTGGGGACGGCCCCCCAGCTAGTGGGACCTGGGGTTTCTGTTTGATTTTCTGCAGCTATTCCAGGGTGGAGCACGAGGGGACTTTCCACTGCGGGACAGAATGATGGCATCACAGCACATGAGGGCGGGCCCTAGTTTTAGAGAACAGGGTGTCCTCTTTGATTCCTGGGGCAGGAGAGCAAGGCTTGTAGCAGTGGGAGGCTGGCAGAGCCGCAGGGCCGGAGGCTGGCAGGGCTGCCTGGAACCCTGAGCTCCCTTGCACCTGGCACCCTTCAGGTGCAACGTGCCAAGGCCTGGGGGCTTTCACCACCGCCTACCAGTTCTCCCTCCATCAGAGGTGGAGAGTGGCGACCTTGATTTCACATAAGCAAAAATATCTCTTTCTTGTTTATTCAATAAACCACATGAATGTTTTTCTTCATTGATAGTCACATTGGGATCAGATCAGAATTTTAAGAAATCTTAAGAAAGCATTGTTCAAAGTTTTCTCTCTTTTGTTTTCCGGTCTAGCTGGGGGCTTTTTACTGCTTTCCCTGGGCACCATGGGCTGCATGGAGGTGCCCGCCTGCCCAGGGGATCCTGGGGACCTCCCAGCTCCCCTGCAGAGACCCTACAACACCTGCAGGCCCCCCACTCACCAGTTTGATGCCTCCTCTGCCGTCTTCCTTCCAGTGGCTGCCAATGCCTTGAGCCTGTGGGAGGCAGAGCACAAGGAGTTCTCAGAATGCCAGCTTTCATTCTTTGGAAAAGGTTGGGGTTGGGGGGGGTGGTGTGTTCCGGACCTTCAGGAGGGACTCCAGGGGGCTGGATGCTGAGACCTCAGAGTGGGATGCAGTGCCCAGGCCTCCACCCTCTGTCACAGCATCACTGTGGTTTTGGAAACACAGACTGCTTGCATCTCTCCACTCCTACCCATGATTTCCCTTCCCTGGCCCCCACCCCCAGTCCCTGGCATGGAGACCAAGGGTTCATGTCCTGAGGTTCACCCATGCCTGAATCCCACCTCCCTAGGAGGTGCCCGCCTGCCCAGGGGATCCTGGGGACCTCCCAGCTCCCCTGCAGAGACCCTACAACATCTGCAGGCCCCCCACTCACCAGTTTGATGCCTCCTCTGCCGTCTTCCTTCCAGTGGCTGCCAATGCCTTGAGCCTGTGGGAGGCAGAGCACAAGGAGTTCTCAGAATGCTAACTTTCATTCTTTGGAAAAGGTTGGGGTTGGGGGGGGGTGTCTCTACAATACACCAGACCTTCAGGAGGGACTCCAGGGGGCTGGATGCTGAGACCTCAGAGTGGGATGCAGTGCCCAGGCCTCCACCCTCTGTCGCAGCATCACTGTGGTTTTGGAAACACAGACTGCTTACATCTCTCCACTCCTACCCATGATTTCCCTTCCCTGGCCCCCACCCCCAGTCCCTGGCATGGAGACCAAGGGTTCATGTCCTGAGGTTCACCCATGCCTGAATCCCACCTCCCTGACCCTCCGCCATGCACTCTCAGATCTTCAAGGCAGCCGTGCAGGGCCATGTCCCTGGGTTGTACACGTGACTCCCTGACCAGATGCCCGAGGGGAAAGGGCACAGGGTCATCCAGGCTTGGCTCAGGTGTTCTTCCTCCAGGAAGCCCTCCCTAAGTGCTCAAGGAGGCTGCCCGTGCAGCTCTCCTGTGCTTCCCCACCAGACACATGGTCACTTTGCCCCTCATCTCAATGGGCTTGTGTTGCCCGTCTGCCTATCCAACCATCTGCAAGCTCCCTGGGCTTAACCGTGTCTTACTCATCCTTGAAACTGGGATGTATGTACAGTGAATTGAGTTTAACCGAAGGGGCCCAAACTAGACAGAATGAAGTTTGATGAAGGCAATTCATCCTCAAAGTTAGCCTGGATATCGCCAGGAACCTGAGATGGCCACTGCCCAGTGGGGCTATTTCAGAGGATGCTGATGGGGCTGAGGCCACCTGGAGAGGTTAGCAGGAGACTTACCAGGGTGCTCCCACCCACCCCAGGGAGACATTTAAAACATGTTTCTCCACCTCCAATGCATAGCGAATGTTTAAACTGGAAGGAATACGGTTTATTTTGGTCACGCCTTGCGGCACATGAGATCTTAGCTCCCCAATCAGGAATTGATCCCACACCCCTTGCATTGAAAGTATGGTGCCTTAACCACTGGACCATCAGGAAAGTCCTTAAATTGGAAGGAATTTTCAGTATGCGTCCAACGGCAACTTCAGTCACATAATAAAGAGTGAATTTTACAGGCACCGGGACTGGGGTTCCAGCCCTGCCCTTCCACTACCTTCCTTTTCTTTCTTCTATGCCCTTGTCTGCACCTGATGGATGGTGCCCAGGATGGTGTCCAGCCTACGGCAGGCACCCACACATGCCTGATCCTGTTCCTGTCTCACACACCCCGGGTTTACTATGAACGTGATGTGAAAAAAGTCTTGATTTGGGTTGGGGAGAAAAGGGGTCCAGCCTCAGTCATTCCGCGCAGTTGGGCAGGGGTTTATTATCTGTTTAAGGCAAGTTTGATCCCTCCCACATCCACAGTCACCTAAGGGGACTTCTGATGTATTTTCCACGTGAATACAGGCGCAAAAAGGACCAGATCTAAGAACAACGTGGAAGCTGCCACCGCTGTCAGGCTCAAAGCTCATCGTTCTGGGGGGATCCTCCCCTGCAGGAGGGCATGGCAACCCACTCCAGTATTCTTGCCTGGAGAGTTCCAAGGACAGAGGAGCCTGGCAGGCTATAGTCTACGGTGTTGGGACTAACACCTTCACCTTCCCTCTCTGGCGGGGATACTCAGGGTGGAGTTGTCTCTGTGTGGCCCTTCTCCTGAGATCACATCCTCCCTGCCCTGGGGGTTTCTTAACCATTTCAGTCCATTATCACACAGTCAAGATGCCTTACCCACAAGGGGTTTCTCTGCACTTTTAGAAGCAACATTCCTGTGTATTTCAACAGCTCCCAGCATCAGAGACTGCCCCCGACCGAGTTAGGGGCTTTCAAAACGAGTCTCAAAAGCCATCTGTGATTATCCAAACTGCCCACAGAGGGGGTACAGCTAGGCATCTCCAAACCCTGGTTCCAATTTCACAAACTTCAGGATCCCACCATTACCAGACAGCAGAGTTTGTCTTTAAAAGGCAAAGCTCGTGTCATTTATAAAAGCAGAAAAGGCCTCATTTTGAGATGAATCCCGAGCCTGCAGGGTGCACGCCTTGACAGGAAGTCAGGGCTCTGAGCCGCCTGCAGTTCTGTGGCCACAGCAGGGTCAGCCTGGGGTCCGGGGAGCCGGACCAGGCCGGGCGGTACTCACGCGGTGTGTGCCGGGAAGCCCATGCCCAGGAGGGGGTCCAGGAGGGAGGGGGTGCTGCGGCACTTGACTTTGTTGAAGACCTTGGCATAGAGCTGGGTCTCGCCCGCTGCCATCGCTTCCTGCTACAGACTGAGGCGAGCAGATAAAGCTGAGAGGCTGAGGCTGAGAAGAAAACCTCAAGCCCTTTCTGATCTTTCTGACAAAGCTAATATCCTGTTTGCATGAGATACTGCTTTTCAGAGTTCTCTTTGCAGACTGGGGGTGCAGGGTCCACCAAGCCTCTTCCACAGTGGGGTTTGGGGTCAGGAGGTCATGGGATCGGCCTTGGTTCTGACTTGGGCTGCACTTGGGAGGAGTCTGCCTGGCATGGGTGGGGAGGGAGACTGGGGGAAGGGAATCTGGGGTGGGATTCTCTACTGGGTTGGCAGAAGCGTGAGCCACCTGGATCTTAGTTTTCCTATCTGTAGAAGACATTAAACTACACTGTATCTGTTGTCCCTCATAGTTCTAAAATTTTTGGCTCTTTTAGTTGTTCATTGACTTCTTTTCTGTAAAAACTTTATAAAGTTTAACACGCATGCAGAAAAGCTGATGAATCCTACATGTACAGTTCCTTGCGTTTTCCTAGTCAACGGACCTCCCCAATCCTCCAGGACCAGCAGTAAAACAGAGGTCCTCGACCTGAGAATTTTGGCCCCCATTCTCTGGGACCACTGGTATTGTTGGGAGACATTTTGATTGTCACAACCAGACGAGGGGGTGTTTGCTAACGGTGCCTAGTCGGGGGAGGCCAGGAATGCTGTAGCCTACACAACAGCAAAGAAGGGTCCAGTGCCAAAGCTGAGATCCTCTGTTCTAAACATCATCAGAACCTTGGAAGCCCCCTGGGCCCCAGTGCCCCACCCCCAGCATCCTCGTTTTCTCCTCCCTCTCCCACTAAAAGGTAGCTGTTGCTCTCACTTGTGTATTCATTTTACTCATCTTTGAACCTGACAGAAACAGAACTGTATAGTATGTTCTCTTCCATGTCTGGTTCCTTTTGCCCAAAATCACGAGCATGAAATTTATCCATGTTGAGAGTAACCGTATTTCACTGTATTGCTGTATAGTGTACCATCAGATAAAGGCAACATGCTTTATTTCTCTAGTTCTCAGTTGATGTACATTTGGGTGCCTTTCAATTTTGCTGCTTCAGACATTCTTGGTATATTTCTTTGAGCACCCAGTGCACGCATTTCTGATAGGCACCTGTCTCAGGTTGGGATTGTGCGATCACAGGACATGTGCATCCTTCATTAGACACTGCCAAGCAATTTCACTCAGCAGTCATACCAGCTCACCCCCTCGGCAGCAGTGGATTGAAGCTCCTGCCCACACTTGATGTTATCAGTCATGCAGCCAATCTGGGGGTGTGTCGTGGTATCTCACTGTGGTTCTAAATTTGCATTTCCCCAGAGGGCGATGACATGAGCACCTTGAGACGGGTTATTGGGCATCTGGACTTCCTCTTAGGGGAAGGGCCTCTTCTACCAGTCCGCCATTTTTTAATTGGGTTGTTTGGGCTTTCTTATCCATTTGTGGAAACTCTGGAGAGGAATCTTTTGTTGGATGACATCATTTATTATTTTATTTTTAATTAATTTTTAGTGTTTTATCATTTTTAAAAGATTTTTTATTTGGGTATCATTGTTTATAATGCTGTGTTTCTGTGGTACAGCAATCACCTATACGTGTAGGAACATCCCCTCTTTTTTGGATTTCCTTCCCACTTAGGTCAACACAGAGCAGTGAGTTGAGTTCCCTGAACTGTGCAGTAGTTTCTCATTAGCTATCTATTGTATACATAGTAGTGTGTGTATGTATAAAGCATCTACTTCTGCTTCATTGACTATGCTAAAGTCTTTGACTCTGTGGATCACAACAAATNTCATTTGAAAAGACCCTGATGCTGGGAAAGATTGAAGGCAGGAGGAGAAGGGGACAACAGAGGATGAGATGGTTGGATGGTATCACTGACTCAATGGACATGAGTTTGAGCAAACTTCAGGAGATGGTGAAGGACTGGGAAGCCTGTTGTTCTGCAGTCCATGGGGTCACAAAGAGATAGACACGACTGAGAGACTAAACTGAACTGAATAACTTTTTCTGGGCTTCCAGCTCAGTGGGTAAAGACTCCTATTGCAATGTGGGAGACGCAGGAGACTTAGGTTCGGTCCCTGGGTTGGGAAGATTCCCTGGTTGAGAGCATGGCAACTCTCTCCAGTATTCTTGCCTGGAGAATCCCCATGGACAGAGGAGCCTGGAGGGCTACAGTCCATGAGGTCTGCAAAGAGTTGGACACGACTGAAGTGACTGAGCACATGCAATAACTTCTTCCAAGCTGTGGTTTGCTTTTTAAACATCTCTTAGTAATGTCTTTGGGTGGAACAACATTTAATTAACTTAGCAATCTTTTCTCTTATTGTTAGGATTTTCTACATCCTGTTGAATAAATCACTGTTAATACAACACGGATGTTTATAGTCTCTTATGTTTTCTTCTTGGCACAAGCTTACAACTCATATTAAGCTCTACTATCCATTTGAATTAATTTAATATATGGTGGGAGGTAGAGGTGAAAGTTCATTTATTTCCCCACGTTTTTCTTCATTGAAAGGAGTGTCCTTTGCCCAGTGAATTGCAGGAGAATGTTTACTGTAAGTCAGTTGATTGAATATGTATCAGCCTGTTTCTGACTCTATTATGCTTTATTATTTGATTTGTTCAATTTTGTGTCCACATTACACTATTTTAATGACTGCGGTACTGAACCCTCTGATATTGTCTCCTCCTTCAAGGTTGTCTTGCTGCTCTACACCCTTTGATTTTTCATATAAATTTAAAAGTCAGGTTGCTGTAGTGAGCCATTGGAAGGTGCAGAAAGACTCTCATATGTTGCCATACTGGTTCTCAACAAAGAGGCCAATGTAATTCAGAAAGTGTTAGTCACTCAGTCGTGTCCAATGCTTTGTGACCCCCTGGACTGTAGCCTTCCAGGCTCCTCTGCCCATGGGATTCTCCAGGCAAGAACACTGGAGTGGGTTGCCGTTCCCTTCTCCAGGAGATCTTTCTGACCCGAGGATCGATCCTGGGTCTCCCACATTGGCAGGCAAGCTTTTTACAGTCTAAGCCTTCAGGGAAGCTGATGTAATTCATAGGGGAGAGGATAATGCTTTCAACAAATAGTGCTGTAAACTGCATTTCAGTATGGAGAAAGTATGAATCTCAACACTTAACTTCACATCATGTCCCCAAATTAACTCAAAATGTACGATGGACCTAAATGTAAAAGCTAAAACTGTGGAACTTCTAAAAGAAAAAAGAAATCTTTCCTATGTTGGAGATTGCCAAGTTTCCTTAGTACATAAAAAGCATAAATCATACAAGTGGAAAATTGATAAATTTGGCTTCAAAATTGAAAACATTTACTCTTTAAAAGACATCATAAGGAAAATAAAAAGGCGATGCACAGACAGGGATAGGATATCATCATATACACACTTGAGAAAGGACTTAAATCCAGAATATAATATAATGTAATATAATTGTATATGTATCTACTGTGGGTATAGTAATGTTAGTCATTCAGTCATGTCCCACTCTTTGCAATCCCATGAGCTGTAGCCTGCCAGGTTCCTCTGTCCATGGGATTCTCCAGGCAAGGATACTGGAGTGGGTTGCCATTCATTTCTCCAGGGGGTCTTCCCAACCCAGGAACCAAACCTGGGTCTCCAGCATTGCAGGCAGATTCTTTATCATCAAGTCACCAGGGAAGCCCAAAAATGAAAGTGTTAGTTGCTCAGTTGTGTCCCACTCTTCGTGTATATATATATATATATACTTTTATCAATAATAAGAAAACAAACAATCCAGTTTAGAAACAGGCAAAAGATCTAAATGAACACTTAAAAGAAGATACAGAAATGGCTATTGAGGATGTGAAAGCTATTCAATATCATTAGTCATCAGGGAAATGAAAATTAAAACCACAATGTGATGCTGAATACACTTACTGTGCTGTTCTTAGTTGCTCAGTCACGTCTGACTCTTTGCATCCCTATGGACTGTAGGCCGCCAGGCTCCTCTGTCCATGGTGATTTTCCAGGCAAGAATACTGGAGTGGGTTGCCACGCCCTCCTCCAAGGGATCTTCCCAACCCAGGGATTGAACCCAAGTCTCCCACATTGCAGGAAGATTCTTTACAGTCTGAGGGAAGCCCAAATACACCTACTAGAAGAGCTAAATTTGAAAATACAGACAGTACCAAGTTTTGGCAAGGCTGTGGAATAATTGGAACTCTCATATGGTGTTGGTGGGAATGCAAAATTGTCCAACATTTTGACATTTGAGTTTCTTGAGTTAAACATACATTTGCCATATGACCAAGTCATTCCTAGCAATCTTCCAGGGAGAAATAAAGATGTATGTCCACTAAAACTTGTACCTGGACCTCCGTGATGGCTTTATTCATAGGAGACCCAAACCGGAAAAAATTCAAATGTCCATCAGCTGGTGAATGGATACACAAATTATGGTATATTCAATCAATGGGATGACATTTATCTATAATAAGGAACACACTGTAGATTCATGCAATATCATGGATGAATTTAAAGAACATTATGTTGGCTAAAAAAAAGCCAGAAACAAAATCATGCTATATGATTTTATTTAAATGAAATGCTAAAAATAATAAAACTAATCTATAGAAACAGAAAGCAGATTAAGTAGTTGACCAAAACTAGTGTATTTAGGGGCTTTGCAGGATAATGGAAATGTTCTATTTCCCGATTTGGTGGTGACTATATAGGCACATAGATCTGAACTAAACACTTTGAATGACTGAACTAACACTTAGGATGAATGCATTTTATAGTGTGTAAACTAAACCTCAATAAAACTGATTTTAAAAAAGGGAAGAAAAGGAATCCAAAGGACAATAAAAAGCAGTGTGCCAATTTCCACCAAAAAAACAAAAAACAAATCCTGCTTGGATTTTGTTTGAGATTTTGCTGACTCTGTAGATCAGTTTCAACAATACTGAGTCTTCCATTCCATAAATATGGCCTATCTG